AACATCATAGAAATTTTCAAAAAGTGAAATTAGCATGAGTTTTAGAAAATTAAGCATGGCATCAAGTCCGCAAACCGAGAGACACATTTCTGCAGTTTCACCATCGATGTGTATCTCTGTGGGAGTCCAAAAATAGAACAAAACAGGATTGAGGATAATTCCATGGAACTTTGTCCTGGGAGCTCTGTTTTTTCGGAGGGGGGGGGGCGTCTGAAATTAATTTTTATTTCGAAAGTAATTCTCATTCTCGTCACAACATTTTGCGTGTAGTATTCCAAAAAGGCAATCCAAGAAAAGTTGGCGAACACATTGCATTGCCAGTAGAAACCCTTTATTTCTGAAGAACGTTAGATTGCCATACTTTATTGGCAGTCTTAGAAAATATCTTCGTGACTATAAAATACCTACGTACCATGGAAGATGTGAACATCACAGTTGACGCAATGAAAATCGAGGAGAAGATCCCCCGAACCAGCAGCATGGCTCGACAGAAAACTGAATACTCGTCACAAAATCTGGAAGAGGTAAAAGGGCTGAAAGTTCTCTCGATGTGTGTGCCCTTAAAATCTTAATTGTTCAAATCAAACAGATAACAGTTTCGTGAATTCGACTTGCAATGAATATATTCTCATCCCATTTAAAATATTCACTGCTACTTTTCATTGGACCGCGTAAATCAGAAATAAACCAAGCCACATCAGCTATTGTCCAACGTAACTTGGCAATTCAATTTTTTACAAGAGAACGTTTGTGTGGATTCCTTTGAACATTTTTAGAAATTTGCTTCGTACTATGCAGAAAATTCACTGAAATTTGCACAAAAATCTGCTCAACCGTTTTCTCGTAAAGAATTAACTTGCAAATAACAAGTAAATTTTGCAACAGCTGATGTGACTTGGTTCCTTTCGTCTTAACGCAGTCCAATTTTTACTTTGTTTTGATAATCGACGCGTGAATGTAAATTTTTGAGTTGTTCCCAATTTAAAGAATTGAAAAAAAACGGGTTTCGCCAAAACCACGTCTATTTGTTTTCCTGTAAACATAAAAAAAAACACGAGAGACGTATACTTCGTCTCAAATGGATATGCATCTTTTCAACTTTCACCGACGACCTATGACATCACTTGTTACTCATCATGGTCATAATCGCCCTTCTTCATAATGCCATTTAGACCATCTTCAGCTTTCAGACAGTGACAGTCCTTGCAAATTATTATCACTGTTTCCTATATTTACGTCTACATCGATGGCCAAAAAGCGACACATATTTCCATTGTGATGTTTCAAAATCTCCGCTCCTACGGTTTATTTTTTCTAAGGAGAAAATGCCAACATTACAGTTTCGAATTTTTACTGAATATTCAACCGAAAGAGAAGAATTATCAAGGAAGTTTTCAAGGAATTTCGTGGACTAGTTTTCCGTGGAAAAAATGAAGTATGACAGGGAGTCTGCAACGTCGCAATCGGAGACACGTGGTCTCACAATTTAGCCATCGATATGAATTGTATGATAATCGATCCTATACCTCACCTACAATCGATATTTATGATGCATTTAAATGGAGGTAAAACGGTGTTGCCAGTTCACGAGAATGCCACTGTTTTTATTGTAGTTTGTGGTTAATTAGCTTCGTTTAGAATATTTCCATAATCTGACCTCAGTATGATCTGATGATGTTTCACGATGCTCCTCATCTGATCGTGCACTGACTTGTGGTTTTCGTTGTTCTTCGCCGAAAAAACTGTCTCATTGGACGAGTTCCGCCCACTTAAATTTGCAATGTGATGCAGGAGAATTTGAAACTGGCCTTGAACGTGGAAAGCGACGATGGGAACGAACGTGAAAGAGATGTAAAAGAAGATGGACGAAAAAAAAATTATGAATATCCCAAAAATGTCCAGTATTTGAGGCCAGGGTGGTATCGTCTCATCAAACGGGAACCAGTTTTTGATTAAATTTGAGTTCTCTGGAAACCTGAGAAGATTAATTACAAGTATGATAAACCGGGGCTGTTATTAGGAGAATAAGCAAAGACGATATATTTTAGAGACCCTGCACAAACAACCTAAGCATTTTAATAAGGAAAAAGCTAAATTTGGACAGAAATGTTTGAACTTTTAGGCCTTGTTTTCCCCGCCATTAATAGTTTGGGCCCAGCACTATTTTATACCGTCTTGTTCAATTCAGACATCAACGCTATTTTCTGCCTTATGATGAGAGATGAGCATTCTGTTGAAAGTATAATTTGCCTTTTAATGACATGCTAAATATCAGGATGAATTACGCTGCGGAAGTTTTTGCAAATTAGGTCAAGTTTGTCGACCCAATTCCATTATATAAGTTCTTTGATCCCTTTTTCCTGTTTTATGGGGGAAAATGTAATTTTTTTTGGCTAAATCTGAGGTTTTTAGGACCTTCTTCATCATGCATTTGTATCCTTGGCTAACCATTAATATGTATTTTTAACAGTATGATTTCCGACTCATTTGGAATTTTTGGGGCTCCTGGTCAACGTCACAGAATTTCCAGGCAGGTTTCGGCATACAGTAATGTATTTTGGACCGTTGCCAGGTGGTTTGAAAACTCGGAAAACAGGTGTAACGTAATTAAGGAATATTCAGTTACTGAGTTAATAGAGTACTTTCTTGTAAATGTATATACGTATACTCATAAATGAGGTGTATTAACTCCCTAGCGTTTCCACATTTTTGGCCCACGTAATTTGAGAATCCACTTCATTTTCTGGCTATGTGTGCAGGTTTTTGTCTCAAGTACTGATTAAAAAAATGATTCAGAGAACTGATCATAATATGACCTATCAGCAGTTCTTATACGTTCCTGAAACTCATCAAAAGGTGATACATCAATGTGGGTCAGCGCTGGTCACAATCGTGTTTTGATGCTTGATTCTCGTAGAATAACTAACATCAAAACATCTGTCCAAACAGCAACTTTTTACATTGAATATTAAGCGAGATATCACCCTTTGAAAGGTCGGTTTCTTACGTCATTTTACTAGTGCAAATGTGTGTCCCAGACTGGTGAAAGCAAGGTGGAATCCACGAAGGGTGTCACTTCCGCGGTGGATGACGTCACAAGCCGAATTTTTCAAAGTGCGATATCTCGGATAATATTGAACGTGAAAAATTGCTGTTTTGACAGATCTTATTATTTTCAGCTTATCTGCAAGAATCGAGCATCAAAATACGATTCAAGGACCAGCGCAACTGACCCATTGGATGTGAAAACTCGACAGCTAATTGAATCAATCCTAATGTTTGCGGTAGTCAATAACTAGCTGAGTCTATCGCTAGGTTTGCACGCATACCTACTTTCTCGTGCCATCAAGGAAACTCTCTAGTCACTTACCTCTTTCCTTCACGACGGTAGTACTCCATCATAGACTGTTTCAGGCTCAATGATCTGGGCATGATGACGAGAAGGGCGAACAAACCGATGGCTACCATGTTCATCATAGTGAGCATCGCCACCAAACAGAATGTTTCCTCCTTTTTCCGAGAGCTCATGACAATTTTCCTCGTTTCCTCTGAGGAATATTGACGAAAAGTTCTCTCAATACGTTTCTTCAATGTCAGTGCACCTTTCGCGTCGATGCAGAGACTGAGATACATGAAGAAAGTGAAAGTCTGGTAATACCACTGACTAATGTTAGGCACACTTCTCCAGAAGCTTATTTCTGAGTTAAATTTCCTGACGAATATCAGTCTCGTGATGACGTTCAAACACAAAAAGGCAGTGACACTATTAGCGATCCATTTATTGAGCACTTCAGAGCAACCCTCCATCGGCAATACGCCCACCATTTTCATTATGGCACACTGAACGTTCAAGCCCCGTATTCTGTATTTACGTCTCGTGTATGATTCCTTCATTGTTTGAAGTAGGCACATTGAGATTAATTAATAATTCCCTAGTAGGAAATTCCACAGCAGGACACGCGCCTCAACATAATCCGCCTCATTATGCCGCTGTTAGAATGACTTCTTGAAACGCGGCGAATATAGGGCAATTTAGTGGTTTTAAACACATGGACGCTTATTCAAGGCGAGGGGAGTGCGGTGCAGTCAGGTGCTAGTTTTTACCAGAGCATCCAAGTTACAGCGGATAGAGCTCGTATTTTACTTGAGTATCTACACTGCACGTTCTTAACTTATATTTTAAACGAATGAACTAGATTTGCAATTCATTTACTTCCCAAAAGAGATCCTTCGAAGCAAAACACGTGCTTTGAAAACAGCATGGGCTTACACGCCGTGTCTGATTGGGCAGTATTTAATGACTTCTCGTAACACGACGTAGAGTAACGTAACTTTATGGGTAACGTGAACTTTTGTTTTTCAATTTTATGGACGCTCATTGAGAGCTAGAGATTACGATGCAAGCGAGCATCAGGACACATCAGAATTGTAGTATATATCAAACGGCACACCGTATTTGGTATTCAAACATCATGCGGGCGTATTTTTTAAACGCACTAAAATTAAAAGCTCATTATGGTGAATAATTAAGCTACCGGATGTAAATTTGATGAACCTCACAAAATGTCCTATTGTGTCATCCGATCAGACACTATTTAATAACCCATTAAAACACGATAAAACAGAGAGAGTAGTTATTTCTAGGCCGATGGTTTTCAACGCAACGAAGCATTGATGCCTTTGCGTGACTATTTGAGACAAAAAATGACATTTAAATAATTAACGGCAGAAAAGTATTTTTGACCGTAATCAATATGTAATCATTGCAACCAGGGGAAAATTTCACAGAGACAGGTGGCTTCCAGACGCAGCCGAAAGGTTTTTCATATCAAACGTTTTAAAAATTGAACATTCGCCGGGGAAAAATAACATCCTATATCGGATCGGACAACATTAAACATTCATATGAGAAGGTCACAAAACGTATCGTGGGACAATCTTCCTCCAATTCCTAACAGTCCAGAGGGTTTTTTCTGTAAAATATATTAATTGAACAATCATTTTACGTTGATTTCCTTAATATAGGTATATTTTGTGAAACACTTCGCATCGTAAGCGGGCTTGTAGTTTGCAAAGATTTCTTGCGATTTTTTTTTTTTTCATGGTGCGTGTTTAAGCGTTATTGACTCAAACTATGACAAGGGCTAATTTAAACGAGAATGACGGGAAAAGGCAGTTACGTATATTTTGCTCAATAATATGAATCCATTTTAAAAGAAAATTAAAAACACTGGTGGGATGGAAGTATTTTCTTACTGAACTATAAACTTCTCCACACGCGGGCCTAGAACATGAAACTAGATCATGAGCGTGAATTAGCCGAACAACTGAAATAAATTTACGACGATCCCGTGATGATAGACTTTCTCTTATTGACAATGTAATTGGTGCATTTTTCATAATTTTATCTAGAATAGGTCGACGATCCTACAGTTTACGAGAGCACGAACTGCAAACAAAAGCCGTGTCAACGTTTGTATATCGGGAGTCCAGATCGTAGATTACGGTGCCATGATTTCCACGCGAGGTGCGATAGTGGCGACTCTCTCACAACCCTTCACGTGGGACTATAAATCCTACCTTAGTAGCACTAACAATTATATTTGGACTTTGAAAAATGTAAAAGGTTTAAATGTGCAAGTTAGGATTTTTTTTTTCTTCTTTTTTTTTTGTAAAATGAATATAAATTTCATGTTTGAAAGAGTATTGAGAATTCAAAATCTTCGCTATCATTTCATTCCATTAAACGAGAACAAAATAACACTTTTGCTGGATATTTTCACAGAATATTCTTCACATATAGAGAAGATTAATCAGGGACTTTATCGAGAAATCACGTTAAGTATATCTCCACTTAAAAAACGAATTGTGACGAGAAGTCTGCGGTGTGCCAAACCAAGATAGTATTTTTGCATTTTCACTTACAAAGGCGAGGTGATTACAAATGATCGATTATCGACATTTCCCTACTTGAAGATATTGTAGCTGTTTGTAGCTATTGTGAGCTTGTTCGTTGCGAACACCCAGTTTATCGATCCTTCACCAGGTTTAAATGGCAGATCAATCGATTTATCCCTAAGCACGCAACGCCACTTTTTCACAAAGCTACATGGACCTTATTTGGACGTATTTTTGTCAAACGGAGCTCCTTTTGAAGAATTTAGAATCCCGGATAGCGCGTTCCGGGAAAAGCATTGCGAGTATAGGACCGAATGTGCCCGACGCCCGGTTTCGCCGCCAATCCAAGCCCCCCTCTACCTTCCTCACCCTATGGCGCTTAGTTCCGTTTGACAGAAATACGTCAATTTCTGTCTCTAGTCCTTGAGCACCCAGGTGACAACACTTTTGGGATACACCCTCCCAGTCCACACAGCCCCACTCTTCATGTTCACAGTGACATAGACATCATTCCCAAACTTATTCTCGATGACCACCGTCTTTGAACCATCGGGATTGGAGGTGGCCACGCTTTGTATCCCAGTTCCATCGGCGTAAGACCAACTCCCAGAACCTTGGAGCACGGTGGCCCCTCGTGGGATGAACCTACTAAACTGGGCCATCATGTAGTAGTCCGTGGTCAGTTGGTAGGTGCCATCGCTGGCATCGACCACTACAAGTCCGCGGCAGGAGGTGCAAGGGCCGTCCGGGTAGGAGAGATGGGGCCCGTGCTCGGGGTTCGTGCTGAGGGCCCAGGCAATGGCGCCGCCGCCCCAGTTTTGGAGGGGCCCCATCGTGAAGTCCGCCGCTTGGGCCCAGCCGGTTTTCGGGGACGTCCAGCACTCGCTCATGATTTGCGTGACGTTCGGGTTCCGCTCGTGGAAGCGGCTCAGCGTGGCCCAGTCGTTGTTCCGGGCGTAGCAGTGCCAGGCCACCGTCTTCACGAAACTGAAATTGGGAGATCGACAGGTTTAAGTGTGTCTTCGGGTCAGGAAGTAAATAAATGCATTGTTTAGAAACTAGAGTGCCTGTATGACGAGAATATGGACAGATCCTTTCATGTAGGGCTCAGGGCCCAAAAAGGCAGCCAACTTTTTGACACAAAAAAATGCACTACCAATCTAATTCCAATGTAAGATCAAAATGGCCAAGGATGTTCATAAATGAGCGTTCCGATCCCAAAAATGAAAAATAAAATTGGTCATCATGGATTCAGCCCGAATGTAGATTGAATAAATACATACGGCGATCCAACACTCGGGGCAAAATTTTATCTGGAGTATGCGAACAGTTTTTGAGAAAAAAGGGGGTGGGGTCAGGGATTTAGAGGCTGAAAATTGGTCTAAAAGAGGTTGTTCCATCCCCCATTAGATTTGGCCCCCTATCAGATATGATCCATCTTTTCAGGAGTGATACAGTAGCATGCGAGACGTTCAAATATGGCGGTCATTATGACTTAGGCCCCCCCAGAGAGGGGGGGCGGGGGGTCAAAGTCAAAACCTTCAACTGCCTATAACTTTTGAGCGAAAAATCGGATTGAGTTGAACTTTTTTTAAATGAAAGATCTCATAAAGATCTATCTGCTGATACCAGAAAAATTGAAAAAAAGTTAAATTTAATGCAAATTTTTAGCAATTTTTCAATTTTTTAGGGGACAAAATTTTCAATTTTGTCGTGTTTCGGCACCGCGCAATGACTCTACTGAAACAAAAACCAGTTTTTTAGATTCTACACCTAATTTCCTACAAGACGCAAAAAACCGTATCTTGGGGAAACGTTTAGATCGCGAGCTATGGCTCGTCAAAGTTAGCCCCGCGCTGAGCGCGCGCGCCCTGCGCTGTTCGCATATCCTCTGCGCGTCTGCCACCGATCCTGTTGCCCCTCCTCCCCCTTCCGCGCGCGCTCAGCGCGGGGCTAACTTTGACGAGCCATAGCTCGCGATCTAAACGTTTCCCCAAGATGCGGTTTTTTGCGTCTTGTAGGAAATTAAGTGTAGAATCTAAAAAACTGGTTTTTGTTTCAGTAGAGTCATTGCGCGGTGCCGAAACACGACAAAATTGAAAATTTTGTCCCCTAAAAAATTGAAAAATTGCTAAAAATTTGCATTAAATTTAACTTTTTTTCAATTTTTCTGGTATCAGCAGATAGATCTTTTTGAAATCTTTCATTTAAAAAAAAGTTCAACTCAATCCGATTTTTCGCTCAAAAGTTATAGGCAGTTGAAGGTTTTGACTTTGACCCCCCGCCCCCCCTCTCTGGGGGGGCCTAAGTCAAAATGACCGCCATATTTGAACGTCTCGCATGCTACTGTATCACTCCTGAAAAGATGGATCATATCTGATAGGGGGCCAAATCTAATGGGGGATGGAACAACCTCTTTGGGAAAATGGATTGGTATGATTCGCCACTGTAGAAATTTAAAAAATGCGGAAGAAAAATGTCATGACTTTGATGAAAAAAAATGTTTTCAAAACCATCCGATTTTCCCCCTATAAAATGTTTGCAAAGGCAGAACATTGTAATAGCTCACAAGAATCTATTCTCAAAATTATATTATACATTTTACTCGAGATTACTCAAAATTGTCTGTTCCATGATTTTTTGTCGAGGATCTCCCCGAACTTCCCTCATCCCTCAATCCCGATTTAAACCATATATGGCCTCCCTAGGAAACGAGCTGTTTAGAGAACGAGTGTGAATACCCTCCTAGACCCATACACAGGGAAATGGGGCTTCGATTCAAACAACGAATGTAGATTTTACAATGAAAAAATTCTGATTCAACCACCTCGTGGCTAAATTAGCGTTCCACTATCGTAAATGTGCATTTGAAATATTGCAGACACTTTTTTTCAACAATTGAATCGTTAAATCATCAATCTATTTTTCCGTGCACTACATCGGAATGAAAGGTGTGTTGCCTACCTTCGAATTGAAGGGACAAATGTTTGAAGTTTATCTGCAGCTCTGCAAAACTCAAGTGGGTTAGGACCGAATAAAACTAACCTAGGGGCCGTGTCAAGAACCTTTTGCGGGTATTCCGGGACATCGGTGTTGTGGTCCCAGGCCCAGACTTGAATGCGTAATCCGGCGGCTTTGAGAGCCGGTCCGATCTTCTCGTTGATGAGGCGCCCGCTCTCATCGGCGTAGATGTACATGGTGGGCATGCCGTTCCTGGAGTTGTGCGGCTCGTTCTGGATGGTGATGGCGTCGACGCTCACCCCGCCGTCCCTGTAAGCCTCCAGGTACTTGACGAAGTACTGGGCGTAAGGGTCGACGTAGGCGTGGTCCAAGTTGTTGTTCTTGGTCGTGCCCCATAGCTTTCGGTTCAGCTTCATCCATCCGGGGGGCGACCTATGAATCCAAAATTGAGCGTTTAAGTTTAAATGTCTCGAAGAGTGGAAACAGTGCAAAACTTGCAAGCTTCAACAGTTTTTTTCTCTAATTCCTCAGTTGTTTACCTCTAAAGTCGAGAAATTGACTTAACAATTATCGACTTAAAAATCAAGAAAATTGATCTTCGTATAAAATTAGTTAAAACCAAAAAGAGGCATGTCATTGGTAATAATAAAAATGAATAATTTTCTAGCTAAAATCATTATAAATAATTTATGTTAAGTTTTAATTATAAATTAGACAAGATGTAATTGCACCCAAAGAGTCAATTTTTGAAATTTTTGGCTGTTTTTGAACCAATTGAAGCAGACTTATAGCAAGATGCGGTATAGTTATCGTATCCCTCCAACCTACTTTACCTTCAGGAATTTTTTTCCTGGCTTTCTCACATCTTGTCTCTTTTGACGGAGAAACGTGACTGCATTGTAGATACGTTGCAAAATAGACTCGAAGAATTCGAATGTTCATAAAAATGTGCCAGCGTAATTCTGTTAAATATTTTTCTGAGTTTATCGCGTAATTTTTTCGTTGTCAAACAAAGAACGTGTATGCACGTTAACGATGTTCAAACTTCCATTCAGAAATTGCACATGTATTAGGAAGCTGTTGATCTTATTTAACAGAAAATGTCCGATTCTTCCTCAAATCGTCGTTTCTAAGACAAGGGTACGTTTCTCCCGTTTTAGGTTGCAACATCTACTACTACAATCATTATCCACACAAAATTATGACCACGCAATTTCTTTCTAAAATTCCATTGATTTTTAACGACAAAGAATTCGTAAAATTTTCGAAAAATGTTCAGTAATTACCTGGTGAAAATAAACATTGCGTGAGAGCATTGTGCAACGTTGATTTTTGTATCAACTGTGTATCATTCCTCTCTACATTTTAACTCTCTGTGGCATAGTGTTACGAATTCGTAACAACGTACTTTCGGTATTTTTATCAATTCAATCTTTCCCCTGTGCCCTGATTTTGCAAAATTACATTAGTTTTTTCTTTTTTTGAAAAATTGATTCCCTTAACTTTAAAATTTTAAAAAAAATTGGTACTCTTTTTGAAAAATTTTCATGCAAGTTACAAAATAGATAAGTGTCCCCTAGACTCTGATTTCCAAAATTAATTCATGCCATAGAGGGGTAAAATCAGCGAAATATTTGACAGAAATCACCCTGTCATGCTTTTTTGAACATTTGAACTGTTCGAGTCTATTATTTAAAAAACTTTTTCCAGGAAACTCTTGCGCTTCGCACTGTCCTAAGACAGAGCGAAGCGGCCTCCGAGGGGTTGGGCCGCGTAGCGGCCAGGGAACGTGCCCCTAGTGGATTAAAAATATCTACAGTACTAACCACGGCGAGCCGAGGATCTTGATTTTCGGGTTGACGTCCCGCATCCGCTTGAGCATGGCGACCATAGCGTTGCCGCGGTCGCCTAGATTGAAACCCGTGAGGTTGACGTCAGCGCTCCCGCCGTTGTCGTCGTAGGTGTAGGCGGGATCGCCGGACAAGTCCGAGCAGCTGACGGTGTGACGCATGAGGTTGAAACCGGCGCCGGCCCGCGTGAACAGCGTCCGCAGTAGCTCCGCGAGTTTCGACTCGGACAAGAGGTTGAAGACCGTGACGGTCGAGTCCGTGACGCAGGCGCCGAAGCCGAGCACCTTCTGCTTCCGCCCGACGGGGGTGTCGTCCACCGTCAGCGACCAGGTCGACGCTCCGGCCGGAGTCGCGTTTCCGGGGGTTGGTTTGTCGAAGGGGGTCAATTTGTAAGCGCCGTCGGAGGAGGAGCAATAGGATAGGGGGTAGTCCGCTGTGCGGACGATGGTCACGGTCAGAGAGAATAAAGTGAGGGGGATAATGAACATTATAACTGGGAGGCTAAGTCACGTTAGATAAGTTAGGGTAAGATTGAGTCAGGTTAGGTTAGTGAGTTAGGTCGGGAGAGGTTAAGTCGGTTGAGGTGAGGTTGTGTTGAGGGGGAGAATGAATATTATAACTGGGAGGCTATGGCACATTAGATAAAGTTAGGGTAAGATTGAGTCAGGTTAAGTTAGATCGAGTGAGGTCGAGAGGTTAAGTCGGTTGTGGTGGAATGAGGTAGGGTTAAGTTAAGCGGTTTTTTAGGGCGAGGTTAGGTCACTTTTGACGTTGAGTTGCGTCAACATGTTTTAAGGATAGGTTGATTGTAAGTAAAACGTGAGGTTCGTTAAGGTTAGGGTGAAGACTACGTCAGGTTAGGAATGGGACGAGGATGGGATATTTTTGCTGGAGGGCTAGAAAAATATGTCGGGTAAGATTGGATCGTAATAAAAATTTTGGGGTTGATGATGAAGATTATTGCTCAAAATTTAGAAAAGTCCCGAATGATGGGCTAGAACGGAGGAAAAAAACACAAGGTACAGTGACTGCTGACTATTTTAAAATTTGCTAACTGTGCCCCCCCCCCCAAAAAAAAAAAAAAAAACTTCAAGAGTTGCACCTATGAAAGGGTTCGGACAAAAATGCATGGATTTGGATACATTTTTTCATAATGGTGAAAAACATGTAATATCAAAAGAACATAGATCCATCCTTCTTTTTGAGAAATAACTGATAAACACCTTAAAAAATTAATGTATCCTGAAACCTCAAATAGCTAGGTTTGGCTCGTTTTGATGCAAGTTTTTTAAAAGAAACTAAATTTTTTTTTTAAAAAATCCAGTTAAGACAATCGTTAGTTTTCTGCGACTTTTTGAAAATGTGAAAATATGAATTCTAGCAATTTTGACCCCACATGATTTATTTTTATGTATGATATTAAAAAAAAAAATTATAATTACCGATATTTCAAAAGTTTCTACCTTGTAAAAATCATATTTCACAAAACAAGGAAAATAAGAGGATTGAGGTTTTAAAAATTTTACAATCGCACCACTCGAATTCAAAAAACTCTAGTTAGATTAAGCTTGCATTCTCACCATGAGATACAGGTAGATGATCACTGAAATTTCAACTGAAACTTTTCAAAACTTCTGAGCGAGGCAGCAATGACATGTTTAGTATTGCAACAAAGCTAATTAGCAAGTTTTGTGCAAAAAGCGACATTCAGAAGAACTGAGAGTGAGATCACAAATGAAATGCAGGTGTGCAACTGTTTCAAGTAGTTCACTTAACACGCGCACAGCACATAGAAAAATCCGATGCTCAGTGCTCACCTTACCTGCGGGATAAACTCCCCGCTATGAAGGCAAATTTCGAGACAGCATACCGAATACAAATGCAGCACTGGTATTTGATGTAGGAGAATTTTTGAGTATAGTCAAGTGATAGAGCAATAAAATGGGAATAAAATGACCGTTATCCTCTATTTGCAAAACGATAAGCTTTATCCTCTCTGCAAGATTATAGCGTATGATAATGAAAATAGGGCTAAAAAACGAGGAAAGTACACTGAAATCAAGAATAACATCGCTAAAATTTAAAAACTCAATCTTGCCTTACTTAATTATTTGTCCGGACGACGTTTCGAAGGGTCTGCTGCCCCCCCTCTTCAGCGGCGACAGTGCGACTGATAGTCGAAATTGAACATTATTACAGATAGCAAGGTGTAATAAATAATGAAAATAAAGACAAATTCAGGCGTACCTTGCATATTCTATACTATACTATTCGAAACCTCCTATATTTACATATCTGGTAACGCTCAGTTCCAGCGTTCTACCGGGCCGATTTTCATGATTATTGCGGCTATCGACAGGCAATTGTCTCTAAATAAGTCCGCCTTATTCAGATTTTGAAAATATGACCCAGGTTTTTTTTATATTTCGTGGTAAATTTGCGAATTCCTCCATTTAAACAATGTAAATTTTTATATTTTGTCACAGTTGGTGTAAGTGTTCTACTGGGCTGATTCCCATGATTTTTGCTGTTATCGAAAGGTGGTAGTCCATAAATGAAAGAACAACTTAATTTGGGGAAAAGGCTGCAAATAAAGAAAAAGGAATAAACAAAACCCGGAACGTTTCAAAATAATTACAATTTCATTTTCAACCGGAAAATAAATTAAAAACAAAAACGAGCAACAGAAAACGAGCCGGTCTCGCAATAACAGCGTAGCGACGGCTCGTTTTTGTTTTTAATTTATTTTCCGGTTGAAAATGAAATTGTAATTATTTTGAAACGTTCCGGGTTTTGTTTATTCCTTTTTCTTTATTTGCAGCCTTTTCCCCAAATTAAGTTGTTCTTTTATTATGTGTATTTTGGCTGATTAAAGATTAAAGTTGTTTCTCATTTTGTCCATAAATGAGCCCGCTTTGATCAAAATTTGGAAGTAGGACCCATGTGTTTTATATATATGCACAGGTGTAGACTAGAGAGCTTAAGAAGGGAGGGGGGCAAAATTTTAAACTCCCACCATCGTCAGGTTTCAAAATATTCCGTCAACGATATTTTGTCCGTGCGCCCGTTTGGTCGGTACTTTACGTCCACGCGCCCACTTTAGGAAGTTGGCTCAGTAAGTTTGGTTGTTTTCAGTGGCTAAGGGGGCCAATTTCAGAAGGATGTACGCCCAGGAGATGTCTTTGTAGTATAAAACAAGAAATGAAACCGTTCTGCCATTTTGGGTCCTCGAATTGAAGCACACCGTTGGCACCGTGCCGCGCCGGCCGCTGTTCCCAGGTTAAGTGGTGAGTGTCTGGACAGTCAAAACGCCTTCAACTCCGTGCGTATGCAACACGGACATCCATGGTGCTCGAATAGTTGCATCCAGGCGCTACACTGAAATTCGTTTGTCGCATGCGACACTAACTGAAGCTTTGATTGCTTTTCATACATCTTACTTAATCCCAGCAATGCCTGCTTTGCTCATGAAATAAATTATTACTTATTTTCATTCCGACGTTGTCAATGCATTATTGAAATATGTGATAAAGTTTCCACCCCTTGGATTTGCTAACAAAAGTAAGTATGTGAGCATGATATGTAAAGTTTTCTTTGACATATTTTAAAGAGTCGTTCTATGTTTGGATTTCTTGTTTTTACGTTTTTTTTACCTTCAAGAAAACTAATTTTGATGTTTTAACAAGAAATTTTTAAAGAGCAATCCTGATGATTTGCATGGAATTTAAGACAGAAACGATGACCATTCGTCTCTCAGAAAAATGAAATGCGACGGGAAATCCAGGTTTCAGGACATTTTATCAACGATTTTTTGTCCGCGCACCTTTTTTGTCTAGTAGTTTACGCCCACACGTAAAATAAGCAACAGTGACTTGGTCCAAGCGTTATATTTTAGTCGGTATGTAAATTCAGGACTGTGAAGAGTATAAATATCTAGGAGTTTGGTTAACTAAGGACGGAAATTTGGATCGGGCTATTAAAGATCGGAATGTGCAAGGCAGGAAAGCTATCGCGATGCTAAATGGGGTTCTCTGGGACCAGAGTATCTCCAAGGAGACCAAAAGAAAAATTCACGTCAATACAACGTCATCGTGAAGAGTATCGTAACTTACGGGAGTGAGGTCTGGCAACTCAAGAAAAGAACTGAAGACATGCTTAGGGCAACTGAGATGGACTTTTGGCGGAGGTCTGCTGGCATCTCAAGAAGAGAGCGTATTCGCAATGAGAAGGTACGCGAGATAATGGGTGTGGAGAAGGACATCGTGCACGATATCAGGTCCAAGCAGTTAGTCTGGTATGGACATGTGCGAAGGATGGCAGACGACCGGTTGCCCAAGCAGGTCTTCGATTGGGTTCCTCCCGGAAGGCGACGGCGTGGACGTCCTGTGAAAGGTTGGCGACAAGGGGTGGAGGAAGAGATCAGAAGGTGCCAATTGCCTGATGATCTCTGGGAGGATAGGGGGAGATGGCGATTGGGCGTCGCAGAGCGCGAGGCGGCGCTATAAAAGCGACTTTATGTATGTATGTAAAATTATATTGACAATAAGGGAATGAGAAATTGAGAGAGAAGGACATATTATTATGGTTGCTCATTTTCTGAATGAAATTTTATTCCTTTCTCTTTTTGAATCATCTTTTTAAATTGTCATTGGTGAATATTTGGTTTTATTTCTATCCTTAAAAATATTGAATGTACAATATACCTTATATATGTATAAGTACTTTTTTTATTTTTTCTTTACGATATTATTACTTCATTTTGAAAACATTTGTGTTTTTAAAACGTGACAAATACTTGTAAAACCTTTTCCAAGCGACATTAATCTCAACGAGCCGCAGTTGTGCCGACAGAAACTGCAAAAATGAATAAAAGAGGAAAAAAACCAAGAAGCACGCAATCTATAGTTTTAACCCATTTGTACATCGATCTTTTAGAGTCAAATACGTCAAATTTTGAGCGTTTTGTTGCGCGTACACCTCTCTGCAGCACAATAAAAGCACAAAATGTAAAAGAAAAAAGTGAAGTGCTTTGGAAACCATTAAATTTGACACGGAACCACCAATATTTAAAAAACACACATTATATTATTATTCTCCTTTGATTAAATTGATACATATTTTTTTCCCCATCAATTTAAATGAGAAATTTCAATGCAGAGCGTGCTATAATTTCAAAATCATGAGTGAAAAAACGCTGACTATGCGAGTATAAATATTAAAGCCTTACAGAGCGAAGCGGCGTGCTGCCAGCGCGAGAGGCTCACTGGCGCCTACAAACCTAAGTGGATACTTCATGCATTGCACAATGCTTGAAGTATCCCCTTAGGTTTGTAGGCGCCAATGCGCGTACGCCCGCCGTGCGGCGGCGCGCGCCTGAACCAACTATTTCTCAACAGAGGTGTTGCACAGTATTATACGAAATTGAATGTATGAAGAATGACAGGCATCCTTTAAAAGTACAGATCTTTCCTCGCAAAATAAATCAAGATACTTATCGTACACAGGAAAAATCTAAGAGCCTTTAACTGAGGCAAATATAGAGGTTTATCCGTTTCAGGTATAACAAGGTGGGAATTTCTTGAAAGATAATTAAGTCCTGTTACACCGAAGAGGTGTAGAGAGTTTTATTGACTTTTGTCTCATGGAATTGGCGCTCCCCCATGTTTACCAAAACTCTCAACTATATATTATTCTCCGTTTGACCAAACAGACAAAACAATAAACAAGCAAACCCTCATTCTTCCAAGACATTATATATTTTTATCCAAAAACGTCGTGAGCAATTGTCGTCTGTATGTGGGCCAATTAACTTCGGGTCTCAACTGGCATGTGGATCAAAACTCCCGTGCCGAAAAAACGCGTGGACGGAAAAAACAGGTGCGCGGACAAAAAATCGTTGACGAAATGTCCTATAACCGAAATCTATGATATCGCAGACCTAATTAAACGCTCATGAATTTTTAGGCGTAGTGGCAAAACTGTAGCATAATTCAGTCTAATAAAAATACTGTTGAAAATAATATTACGTGCTGCGTTTACATTTTCAAAATGTGAGCTCTGTCTAGTTTCATTGAAATTTTGTGTGAAATTATTTAAAGGAGAGGTAACAATTCACCGTAAATTTCAAGAAAAACTGTAATCGTTTCCCACAAAGAAAATAAAGTATGAGCGGAGCATTTGAGCATACGAGCGCATTTGCAGATTGTAGTCATCGATACTTATGATGTTTTAGCATGACCGGAAAGGAAAACCTCAGCTGGACGAACCGAATAGTTTAGCGAGCTTTTTTCGGTACAACTCAATGAACACAATTCTCAGCTATGCTTTGGTTTACATGGCATTTGTTCCTTATCGACCATAATTTTTCGGTTTGGTTAATAAACTGAGACTTCTGCAACCTGATCGTTGAAATTTTTTGTTTGTCGGGACGACATAGATGACATGGGCTGAAAGGCGGAGCGTGATTGGTCGGCTGTGTCTTAAAAATGTGAGCGTCTTCTCGCCCTCGACTCGGTAGCAGCATTTTCCGCCGGCGTCCAGGACGCCGCGTCCAGACGCGCCTAAGGTTCCGTAGCTTTATCGCTGCTTTGTCGTGCCTATGTCGGGTTGAACTCGCGACAAGCTAACGGTACCTCTTGGGTATCCGACAGTATATCGTCCATTATTCCACCCGACAAAGCAACGATAAGACATAGCCGACGAATCACGCTCCGCCTTTTAACCTATGTCATCTATGTCGACCCGACAAACTAAAAATTTCCATAATCAGGCTGCAGTTCCCTAAAACTGAGCCTTCGGTTTCTAATCCTGGGGTTCAATTCTGTCAACCGAGTGGTCGGCTCGTTCGACCTAGGAGTGATCCTTTGAACCAAATAGCGTCTACTGAAACATTTTGTTCAAGGAACCGAGGTTTTTTTCCGTGTACTCTTCTATTGCAATAAGGTTAAAGAGAATTTGCAGGTGTCTGAAATTTGATGCATTCCGTGTTTCAGTGAAAACTACAGAGTGGACTGAATACGAGGATACCCTTGGTTCATGAATTTAACAATTATTGGAGTAGATATGACAAAATGATCTAATCTGCTAAAATACATTTGTTTAAATGGGAAATGCCGCCAGATGACGTCACTCGGCGGTGAATTTTCTCACTTTTAAATCGATTTTTATATACCATTTCCCATATCAAAAAAAAATCATAGTAAATACTGGGAAATCAGCTCTTTGAGCACTTTCAGATGAAGCGATAAAAAATGTGCATGCAAATTTTCCATTATAATTTTGATTTCAGAAGTTCCATGACCAAGTTTAATATCGGCCTCTTTTTCCGCAGATGATGGTCAGAATCGTGTTGTTCGGTGGACTCACGGTTGCGATAATCAACATGTCCCTCGCACAAAACCTGCATGCTAGGCATCATGATGATGAGAAAGAGGTTGCCTCGAAGTCAGTGTTCCCATGTGCGACTCAAGGATTTGCTTTGAGGGATATTCCTGGTGAAAAATATTTGAATGAGCCTAATTTTGAGTCGGACGCAGCCTTTGAAAACGAAGATTGTGGAGTTCGATCAGATAGCTCATGAGGATGGTGTCACCGATATTCTCCAGGAAATTCCGCCCGAGCAGCAAAAATGATGAAGAGCTCAACAGCCAATATTCTACTAATAACCCTTTTGGTGTGTGTGAATTAGATTCAGGCTCAGGACAATTTTGACACCCTGGGTTCGGGAACATCCCGACTAAGGCGTCAGAAATCAGTGAAAAGTAAAAAAGACAAACGTACTCGTCACAAGTTTAGGAATCTCTTTTCCTCAAATTAACTACCTAGCAGTTTTATACTTCATTTAAAGGAACTGTTTTTGGCTATTTTTAGCATGGATAAACTAGATTTTCATTTTTTCGCTTGCCGTTTCAGGTACACAAAAATAATTAGACAGTAGAAATGAAACTGTGACTCATATAATATGACTTTCGATCGCTACATTCGTTTGATCTCTTTCTTTGATCACGAGAAAAAACAAATATTCTTATTTCTAATTTTTATGAAAGGATAACTGCAACTGTGTTCATTGATAAAGTGTATCCAGATGCGAGGTTGATTCCATTGGTTTTTTGGTCTAATTCCCTTCTAAAAGTACTCCGCAAAGTTTAAACCGTGACAAAAAAAAATTTGCAAATTTAGTCAAAAATTTAATGTTTCACCTCTCTCATCGACTTGCTTTACTGAATGTCAGTACTATTAGGCCGAGGTATTCCACAAAACCACGTAACATCAATCACTTCTACTGAGATAGGAGAGCGAACATGGGGCTGTCCATAAAGTATTACGTAGGTAACGCTCTAGGGGTAGTTAGGTGGGAGTTGCCGAATTGGTTCCCACTTCCGCAGTCCGCATTGGTTCCCGTTTCCGTATTAGTTCCCATCTATAAAATCGTAGCTCAATGTTTTTTATTCAAAATTGCAACATGGATTTGAACAACATTGGAATTGAATCGGGAACCAGTGCGGACTATAGGGTTTTGGTTCATCCGGGAACCAGTTCGGACTGCGGCGGACGGCCACGGGAACCAATGCGGGTTCAACCAGTTAGATCTTCATAATTTTGTCATCATAAGCGTGACAAAAGGTGAGAGGGTGTCAAGCTCAACGTTAAGTAATAGTTCTTACATATTAAATTCCAACTTTTTTCTCTCATTACAGTGTAAGGTAGTTTTTTTGGCTGTTCTTTCTTCTTTATGTAAATAAAGAGCCTTTGAATTAACACGAGCTATGTCCTCCTTCAGTTTTCACAGAAAATTCCTCTCGAGCTCCTTTTTGTGTGTAGTAGGAGGGAGTGTCCAGAAAAATGTTGCGTGATTATTTTTTTTTTTTTTTTTTTTTTTTTTTTTTTTTTTTTTTTTTTTTTGGAGGGGGGTTTTATGGACCAGCGTCGCAATGGCGTTAAAAAAAGTACGTGGGTTTAAAAAAATCGAAAAAATCGCATTACGCTGTTTATGAATATCATCTGAGGTCTAATCACAACAAAAATTGGAATCAAACTGAATTCAACATCATGAGTGCATAGATTTTCATTAATCTCTGCTACAAAGATAAAGAAAAAAATCAACATCCATATTTTGAACATATCATTTATTAAAACAAATTGTCTCATATTTTCAATTTAAGTGACATCAAGATATTAATTCAAGCCTGCAGAATGTCAGGCTTTACGACTATCATGATCTGAGGAAAATACCATGAGTAGCTGCTATAAGTAGCTTATTATATCAATAGCTTATATATGCCGGAGATAGTTGGACATATACGGATTTGGACCTTGAACATGAACTTGACCTTGAACTCGGACATACACGGATTTTGACCTTGAACATGAACTTTACCTTTAAACATAAACTTGAACTTGACACCACGATGAAAAATAGTATTCGTTTTGTAGGACAAAATGGGATGAGCACTAGACCCAGAAAAGTAAAGTATCTTTACTGGAAAAAATGTTTTAACAGCTTAGCTGATAAATCATGTAAAAACTCAAAATATTCGAATAAGGTGCAGGTACCCCCTTTCCATATAGCATTCATTCGAAGAGGAGTAGACGATTTTAAAATGCGACTTTTGCTGATGCGTTCCCTTTATGATTTTAAATCAATAAATGGAGCGTGTAACCCGTGCGAGAGAAAATGTCAAGACGTGACCGGAAAGAGTTCAGCAGACACTTAAAAAAATCTTACGCAACACTTCTACGCGCGGTTTTTGAAATTGAATAAAAAATATTATTTTTAATTATGTGGCCGACTGCTAATATAGTAGTTTATGTAGTTTTAATTTTTTTTTTTTTAAACAACTCTTTTACTTTAACAATCTTTTTTAAATTTTTAACAACTTTTTATGATTTTAACACCTCTCAGCGTCCCCCTATGGTTTTTTAGCGAAAAAAATAAAAAAATCGTCAAATACTAGAGCAACATAGGTCCATGCCAGTCAAAATTTTGCCAGCATTTTTCTCCACTGTAATTTACCACGATGACGCAATCGAAGATAGATCATACAATAGGATCAATGCCGGATACGCTTATAACTGAAACAGATTATTCTGGCTATCTTGATTCTTTGTACAGGACCTTGTTTCTAAGGGTTGTAGATTTAGAAATGCGAAACTCCCGGTGGAGATTACTGAGAGTTTCTGCATTAGAATTAAGGTGTTATATGTATGATCCGTTGAGAGGAGCGTCAAATGATGTGATCCCTGCACTCATTAAAAAAAAAAAAACGAGGAATAATTTCGATCGTGTCAATGGATAATATGTGTTGCAAATGGTGTATGTTGGTAAAATGTAGGAAAAATAAAGGTGAAAAAACCATTAAGTCGATAATTCCATGAGTACACCAATGAATAATCCATGTGTAAAAATTATAGAAAATGTATTCACGATAATACGTCAAAAATTGTACAAAAATCCCAATCTTTACCGAGGCTTGATGCGCTCGTTTTACAGGGAAGTCTATTTAAATTTTGATTTTTGTTTAGTACAACAACGACTAATAAGAAAAAAATACTTACTAGTAATCTATATGTCTAACCCTGTATCATCATATTACGACTAATTTGTTAACCCCCCCCCCCCCTTGTCAATACATGTGCAATAAAAAATAAATGTGGGGTTAACGGGCGTGCCCGAGTTGTTAATTTTATCGTTAAAAAACTTCCTTGGGAAGCGACTGTTTGTTTACCAGAGCAGAACTTTGATTTCCCATGGCATGTGACAACCGAGCTTGTGGAACGTTTGGCGTGCAACTTTGGACGACGAATTGAGGCGACGACGTACGATAATATTCACGTTTTTTGGACGAATAGAAGACTGTGTGAGGGTGAATTGTCACGTATTTTATCCGCGATTGATCACAGATGCAGTAGGAATCCGTACGTTTTTCCGGCATTCATGCGTCGTGTGTTCTTGAAAACCCGAAATAGTTTCAATAGTTTGTGTTTGCCACGCCTAATTTTAATTTAATTTTAAAAGAGTAACAGTTATTAATGAGGATATCCCGATCCAAGACTTGAAAACTGCACCATCCTTATATTCATATCGTTATTTAGGTCAAATAGAAATCAAATTAAGATTTCAATTCAGCATTAAATACTACGACGGTTATATTGACAAGGGCCATGAACGTTTCATAAAAACTTTAGAAAACAATTTAATATTCCAGAGGATAATGTGTCTTGTCTAGACGAAGACACCGACTTGGGCTCTTCAGTTTGCTCTCTCGACTAGTACGGTACGGCCATGCGGCTTGACCAGTTCGAGAGGGCAATACAGACCAAAATATACTACTAACAGCACCGCGAAGTTGACGGTGAGTGTTACCGGAGAGACGAAATGGGTCTATAAGAAGTGCACTGCGTTGAATATTTACCGGCGTTACCGATCGATGTCGATTCGCGCCCTTTTAGTGCGCCATTTGAAGAACGAATTGAAGCTTGTTTGGTTCCAAGAACGATTGCCCGAGTTCGGCGATGACCAGCGATTCTACATTTTATACGTAGAGTTCCAAGGAGTGTTGATGGGAGAGAACGACCAGGAACAGGCGGTAACGTACCGTTCAGATCGCTGGTGCCGTAAAACCAGGGGAAGCGCCTTGAATCGGAAGGCGATCAGGAACTTGATCATTTGATCCATCTACGATCAAGTTTGGGAACATTATTCTTCGGGTGCATTACGGTTGATAAGATCAACGGTACACAAACGCACAACCAGTCTGCCACCCGCCGACCCCTCAGTGTAAAAAGTGAGTTTCAGTTGTTTTCCCCTCCCAGATGTTTAGAGTCCCCATGTAAAGCGTAAATCGGTATCAACCGACCAAACGAATTTGAGCGTGCGGTACAACGAAAAATTTGTGCCGGTACCCACGTCGAAGTCCACGGTCATGTTTAAAAGGAAATTACGTTGTTACGTATGTTTTAAAAGAAATTCTTAAAAATTACGATGCCAGTTCGTTATAAAGTATTACGATGGATATGTGGACAAGGGGCACAAAGCGCATCCCGCGTATCTTTAGGCTCAATCTTAATGCGATCTTTTTGCTTGCAAAAAATAAATTTGGTTTCGTGGTCGGCCATAATCGCACGGATCCAAAAAATTGATTAGAAACAGGTTTCTACATTAATCGTTCATATACGAAAAAATTGACCCGTGAAAGTTTGATCCGACGAAGGATGCTTCAGTTCACCGTGCACCTCTGTACCTCGAAGATCCACCATGCGCATCGACCAGTTAGCTCGCGACACACACAACCATGTCCTCGAGTGCGGAGACGAGGAACCCAACGTGATTTACACATGGGACCCCGAATATAATGTTGTGACCGAAGTTCGATTCGATGCGTCCCACACGACGTCTTTAACCGGTCTCAATCAAATAACATCTGCGATTGCCCTGACGTTTGACGATTTAAAGGCGCACGCGTGGGATGCACTCGACGTCGTCCAAGTAGGGCAATATATTTTATATCGGGCTCGAGCGTTTGTAACGATCGGGCCTAATCACCGAATCCTCTACACCGAAAGGTACACAGAGCGCTACCAGGGGGACCAGAGAAACAGCTCGCTTGCCAGATGGGCTGTACTTAGAGAGCTCAACGATATGTTGGAGGAGTACCTCCCATACGTTGGGACTCCCCGTTTAACGGTCAAGATATATTGCTTGTTCTATCTCGTTCCTCCGCAAACTTCCAGCAAACTTGGCATTATCGTTGTCTTACCCTCACAGCTTGGAGAGCATATTATCACTCTCACATTAGCCGGAAGCAAATCGGGGGATTTTGAAGGTGTCATAAACGTTGCATCATGCGATCGAATCTCAATTTCGGATTCTTGTTTGCAAAATGTAAATGTCCACTCACTTTTTGACTTCATTGCACAACCAAAACTACTTTCTAACGCATCGTATACATACAAAATCCGCCCGCCCGCCCAAAAAATCCCTCAGTTGCATTTCGCGTCCGTCACCATGAGAATCGACAAACTCGCCCGTGCCCAACACTCCAGTATCTACCATTGCGGTCCCGAAGGGGGGACCGCAGGAATATTAGGTTGGCTGTATCAGGGTGCATCCCAAGCTTGCTTTGCTTCAGATGAACACTTAAACATTGCGATAGCATGCCTTGAAAAACATTTCAGGAATCGGGTATCTCCCGTTTGAAAGCTCTTCACTTCGTATAGTTGCCTCAGTTGTAACCTTAAAATATGCTGTGTCAGATTTTGTGCATCACCGGTCGAGCATACGGACGAAGTGTATCTCTTCCAACGACTCTTAACATTTTCAAGAGAGAACATTCAAACCACCATTTTAAAAGCGCTGAGGGCCTTCAAGTCTGATTAATAATAATACAACAGAGCTAATAGTTATTTGTGCAAAAGCTCTCTCAAAAAATCCAATCAAAAGTAAAGTTTTTTATCGCCACCAACTCGAATACTAACATAAAAAAGCTACAAACATCTGCATAAGTATCGTTCCGATTAATCGGTCCTTTTCTATCAATCATTCTTTTGTTTTTGATTTCTTACTCATGTTTTGTAATTGTAGCAGGGAAAAAATGAGCGGACATAACCGATGAATTAATAAGAATTGTATCAATGTCGTGATAGCGTATAATGGGCCTGTTGCAAACTCCTGCCAGAGCAAAAATAAGAGTGGTTTCCTTATAGCTATAACGTCTCAAAAATCACGATAAGCGCATCGGCAAACTCTGAAATGCACTCCTATCTTCACAATCAGTGTGAGAAATTCGCGTTTTTTTAAGCATCCCGCTTTAAAAAGGATACTACGGCACAGGTTAACATTTCGTCAGAAGAGTCGTTCCATTCAATCCCCACTCAACATTAATGACCGACGCTTCCGCGCGCAAGTTGGAGAGAGCAAGTGGTCAATCACGGCGGATATCTATCAACGCGAGAAATATGTGAATGTAAACACGTCGATTGTTATGAGGTGGTATAAACCATCGTCTCGTCACATGTTCTTTGGCGGATTGTCGTCGGCTATGTTGAATATTGCGTCATATCCTCGGGTCAGCAAGGGTTGGATAGAATGGCTTTTCTAACGAAATGTTCACCTGTGCCGTGGTATCGTTTTTGGAGCGGGAAGCTTGGAAAAACGCAAATTTGTCATGTAAATTGTGAAGAGAGGAGTGCATTTCAGACTTTGCCGTTGCGCTCATCGTGATGTTTGAGACATTTATAGTAGAAACTCTTATTTTTGCCGCAGCAAAAGTTTGCAACAGGCCCATCTTGCAATCAATTAAAATTCAAAGTTGAGGATCAGCAGTCAATGAATCAAGTCAATTATTTGTGGTACGTTCAAGGTCAAAAATACATTCAAGGTCATACATTGCCCATTCGCCGTAATTAACTAGCATTTATATACTAGTCGCGCCGATTCGGAGAAAATCGCAACTATTGTAGAGGTTAAATTGAGATTCAAAAAAATGGAGAGGAAAATGCAGACCTTCCTCTCTATCGTCGTCAAAGCTTAAAGCTGAGTTAGGTCCGGTTTTCTTCGGTGGAAAAAAACATTCAGGCTTTTTTGGGATCTGATTATGAGCTGAAAACTCAATTGGAGCTCATCTATTCCGTGTTCTGACTCCAGCAGGTAATCACGAAGAATATAAGATAGAATCACTTTCTCTTCCATCAGGGCAAATTTTTGACCTGAAATCAGTTGTTTACCAATTATACGCATACATTAATAAGAAAATACCAACTTGTAAATTATTGAAAAAGAGGAAATCATCTACGGTGAATCTTATGTTATAGTTCCGAAAAAATCCACCACGTCACGCTATTAAAATCTGGCTCCGAAATCAGAAATTATGTAAATATTGCAACCGATAAATGTAATTCTAGCAGCGCATGTCCAGAATGTTTTTCAAAAAAATACGAACTTTCAAGTTTAATAAGGAAAGCTAACACTCTTTAGTAGTGTCAATCGGAAGAGGAATGTTAGCCAGAACTTATGACTCACCGCTTCAAACAGACATCCATTATGCGACCCCCCTGTGCGAAAAAATCTCTAACTACGCACTGTTGAAGATTCGCACCTTAATTGGATTGCATTTCGCAATTTGGAGCTATAAATTCTGGCTCATCTGAAAAGACACTTATGTGCATAGAGAAACTGATGGCACATACGTTGTTTTTAAACCGGGCCGGAATTTATAGTTTTTAATCGCAAAATGTAGTCCAATTTGAAGGCAGTGTCACGTGAAACTCATATGACAGCCGTTGTTTGCAGTTACCCGGAATGAGTTGCGATATATCGATTGATCTGTTATTTAAACGTATGAAAAAGAATCGATAAACAGGATGTTCGCAGTGAGCACCTCAGTGATCGATTGTATATCACAGCTTCACGGGGAAATATCGATAATCGATCTTTCACGCCTCGACCCTGGTCGTGTATCACTACTTTTCGATACAAACGCACGCCATTCATCCGAAATTATCACTTTCCTACTCTTCAAATTAGGTTTAATATTTAGAAGTACTATTTTTGTTTGTTTTCATTAGAAATTATGTCACATGACAGTTGTCATTTTCAGTTTTTTTTTTTGAAATCAAGAGACTGGAATGAATCAATTGTACGTCCAACATACGTTCAGAGATGAAAAATTTCATGAAATTTTATTTAGTGAAATCTAAAACTTCAAAACTTTAAAACTCGATTCTTTTTCAAAACTTCAGGCATGAACTCAGTAATAAAACGCACAGAAAAAGTAAACTTTTAATGTTGAAATAATTATGAGTCAAATTTCAAAGTTTCGTATCGGATACTCGGATAATTGTCAATTGTGTCGGATACCTACATTTTATGGGAAAGTAAATTTCATCTTCCATCTCTGCATATATGTTTTTGTCATAGTATTCTTTATGAAGCGAGAAGCTCAAAAAATGTGCACGAAGGAGTGGCGTTATTTCGCCAACTTTGTCGACTGTTATCGCTTTCGTAAACGATGACTTTCCATGTGTATTTTCCATACTTTTCAATTTTGGGCCTTGCAAAGCTTCCAATACTTTTTAATTGTTGGCATTTTAGTAAAATTTAAAAAGTTCGTTCCAATTTTAGGTACGCTGGTAAAATTCAATTAAACTCAGAACTGTATACACTTTTTTTTTTTTTCAAACGTAATTGCGGGACTAAAAATATTCTTGAAACTTTTTCCCACATCCTTGCCAATAAATGACCAAAAAACGTCCTCCTGAAGTGTCGAAAATTCCAAGTTTTGGATACATCGCCACGTTAAAGGTTTCAGGATGAGGGATCAGCTATTTATACTGCATTATTATAGGTTCTCTTGAGAATACAAATGGCTCTGAAGAATTGCCAAATACTCACCGATACAGTTTCTCGGCCCAGCAGCAAACGGAACGAAGGAATAGGGATGGCGACCCGAGCATTGCTCTTGACAAAATCGTTCGGGGTCAAACTTTTCCGGATCCGGAAAAACTTTCGGGTCTCTATGCAGATTATACACGTTCAGTAGTATAGTCGTTTCCTTGGGAATGGTGTACCCATCTAAGCAGATAAAAAAACAACTCAAGTTAGTTTCCCCGGCTGAGGAATTTACAGAAACAAACACATGATGTTAGGATTTATGCATACATGTAACTTTTAATAGTTTCGTTTAAAAAGTGCCCCACTTGAGAGAACAAATCTAGAGAGAACAACTAAATTTGGTCAAAAATTTGAGATGAGTAGACAATTTTTAGCGCAATCAATGTTATTCACTTTCCAAATAGAAAGTCCTGTGGCCAAAGATGTGAAACTCTTCGGTCATCATTACCGAAAAATGAACGTTTTGGAACCCTAATGTCGGTCGCTTTTTGGGACTAACTGAATTCGTGTTTGTTTTTTATATGTTAAATAAAAGGGAGGAAGAAACAATCATACGATGCGAATAAAAGCAGAAATAGCAAGAAAGAAGAATTTTCACTTTTCCGAGTTCGGCAGTTTTCAAAGCCATAGACATTCTTCCCAGTGCGTTTTATTTTTTAATTAAAACCATGAAATATACTTCGCAACAATAGCTCCGTAGTCATTCTCGGAGAAAGTAACGGCGCGGGTGTCTAGTCAAATGTTAAGAAAAGTCGTCGCGCCTTAATTTTTTCTGTATGCAACATGTGTTGCTCTTGAGCCAGTAAGGTTACATTCGGGCGTTATCATGGATGTCGGCACGTTGGCTAATGGAGCTTGCATGTGTCAGGAATTTGCGATTTATTTATAGATTTCTGTGTAAAATTTCGCGAGAAACACGATGATGCCACTGGTTTTTTCTGAGACAAACCCTGAAAATCGAAATAAGTTTTCAAAGTTGAAACCGAAATGGAGGGGATATCTCACGCTAACCTCTACATCCACCTCTACATCAAGGAAAACTTTCCCTGCAAAGATAGGGAGCAACGACATTAACCGGGCTCCAAATTGGGGACTCAAAAACTGAAAAACGGCAACTGAGCTAATGTACATGTAGTTGCCCCGTATCTATCCATAGAGAGTTTGACTTGATATAAGGCAAATTTTCGCGAGTGGCTTCACTCGAAGTTTTTAATTTACTGCCAACCTCCGTTACAACACACGGAGAAAAAAACTTCGTGCGTGGGACCTGAAGTTTAGGTCATATGGATCTCTGAAGTTTTCGGATTGAGCATCTGAACACTTTAGTTCTAGCTGGCGAGGTTCGGATCACACGTCTGAAACTTCAGTTCTTACATCTGAAGTACTTCAGATGTGAGACCGAAGTTTTTTGGATGTGAGAACCGAAGTACTTCAGATGTAAGAACTGAAGTTTCAGATATGTGATCCGAACCTCAGCAGCTGGACCTAAGGTGTTCAGATGCTCAATCCGAAAACTTCAGAGATCCATATGACTTAAACTTCGGGTCCCACGCACGAAGTTTTTTTCTCCGTGCAGAACGAAAGTTCCTCTGTGCTTACAACATTTGGTTGTCATGCTGGCAGCAAGAACGACTACATCAAAAATTCTCGACTCACCTCCCGAGGTGGGTTGAAAAGTAGAGTTAGTTAGTTATTATAATTTAGAGACATTCAGCGACTCAGGCTATTAACGTCTTACGTGTTGGCCAAGATTCATCAAGCAGCTGAGTTAGAGTACCTATATTGAGAGAGTATGGCCACTGGGCCCCATGGAGAGGCTTAGGACCCAAAAATGGCGGTGCTTTGTTTTGGTTTTTGTGGATGGGAAGGGGGTCATTGCCAACTTTTGACGGTTATCACCAACCGCACTTGCTGCCAAACTTACTACATCTAAGATAATTTTTCTCAAAAATTGCACACGATTAGCCTTAAAAATATGTAAAGATGTCGCAATAGTGCATTTGAGTAAATTTCTCATTACGATAAGCAAAGAAAACTACATTTTGAGTCATTTTGCATTACATTAATTTATGGCGTCCGCCATTTTTGGGTCCTAAGGGCTCCATTTAGCCTAAGATGGCTGAGCCAATCAGAGGTGGTAACCTCAGTGGCCATACTCTCTCAATATAGGTACTCTAAGCTGAGTTAAGTTCTTGACAGCATCAGGAAGTTTTTCGCTTTTGGTTTGCAACCCTGCCGATCTGGTTGTAAAAGTCGACCAAATCCACTCGCGAAAATTCACCTTTACTGACAGGCTAAGGAAAAACGGCGTGTGAGCCTTCAGGCGTTGCCAAATTTCGATTGATATAACACGAATTTCCTGGTAAACTTATGAATATTTTTCTTTCAATTTTTCAGATAATATTGTTCGTAATTTCACTAAACTTCCTGAATATTTCAATAAAAAATATTCGTAACTTTCCTCAAAAATAAACGTGTTATTGAAGGAGAGTTGGCAACTCTCGAATGTTCATACGGCGTTCTTCCTTAGCACAGCAGCATAGAGGTAGACTCTCGGGGTGACGTGAAATATCCCCCCTCCATTACAGTTTCAACTTCGAAAGCTTTTTTTGAGCTTTTGAGTTCGTTTTTAGAGAAAACCAGTGGCACCATCGAGTTTCTCGTGAATTTTACACAGGAATCAGTATGTAAATCGTAAATTTCAGGCACATGCGAGAGCTCCATCGTAAGATGCTGATGGAACCTAACCTAAATCACTGAAATGAGACGAGTCAATTCCATAGGTATATTTGAACGCATCCTTACCCATTATTACGTCTTCCGCAGCTTCCCGCCCCAATATGGGGACACTTGGAAACAACCGTAAGCTTTCCTTGATCACTTGCTCCAGATACTTCATTTTTTGTAAATCTTCGACTGACGGACTTCGATTCGAATCTTGAAAGATCTCTCTAAGTTCAGAGTAACATTTTTCCTGTCGAGAGCAACAAAAATTCATGATTGTCTTGAGGAAATGTTTATGAGAAGATATTCGCCATTTTAAAATATTTGTCTTGTGCGACAACTGTATTATTACGCACAAAGCTAATTTTATATATTAGTACTTCATTGCAACATTTTACACTTTCGGGAGAGATTTTGTCATTCTCCGGCCAAGGTATCACAAGCGCCATTCGAAGTTTAAATATTTTCGCCGCCATTTTATTTTTTTATGGAGATATTGTTCAACGATGTCATCCGAAAATTTCACTTGATTTTCTTTGTGTTGCCGATAATGCTCAGTGAACTTTTCAAATAGATTCAACCAACAATTTCTCTGTACAGAAAATAAAATAGTGGCGGATATTTTGAAATATTCAATGGCGCTTGTAATACTTTAGCCGAAAGGTGACGATGTATCGCGCCGCAGGGGCCATTCAAATAATACGTAATGCTTCCTTGTCGACTTTTTGACGCCCTTTCCACATTGCGAGGCATCCGCAATACATTTTTATATCCAACCTCCGAGATGGTCCTTTTCTCTGTGCAGGCCGACGCTGCGATCATACAATCATATACGATCTAAAATGTCCGTGCAAAGTATGAATGTACAATTATCCAGAATAATCTTTTACAGTGATAAGTATTTTCGGTAAAGGTGCCAGTGTATGCTCGATTTCAACTTAGTTTGCATCATGACGAAACCCTGGCTCAGGAAATTCTGAAATTTTTACTTTCCTAGATTGCTGTACCTTGAATATTGCCAGCAATTTTGCATCATTAACGTCCAAAATATTGAAATCTGTGAATCTACCGGGTTGTTTATGCACCGATTTGAAGGCGCTTTCAAATGCGTCTTGGTCTAACTTTATTGTGGTAGGTTTATGCAAGAACATGTAATGGTTTGTATGACTCTCTCCGATTCCTGACTCTTTCTCGCTCTGCGTGTATGATTCCAAAAATTATTGGGTCTCTACACCATTATTAAACCCGATTTCCATTAGTCAATGAGTATTTGAAATATTTACACAAAATTATGCTGCGTGCTGCTGCTGAATATTTACTTGAAATGGACATACGGAAAAGTTAATACCGATTTATCTGCTACGTGTATTTAAAAAGCTAGCATTCGCTACTTTTAAATTTTTGTCAAATGACACTTTTTAGGAGGGGGACAGGTCCTTTTTTTAGTAAATATATAAAGAAATTTTTGCTAGGACTCAATCAATTCCGCCGTCAAAATACTTTAGTGACACTTTAAACCCTAAGTTGGTTTCTAATTTTCGACAAAAAAAATCATAATACAACTCTTATTTAACGGTGATTGGAAATTCAGCTAATGGTAAGTTATCCTTTACAGGAAGATTCAGTTAATGACGCGCGTCACGTTTTATGTCCTAAGTTGTACGAAGGTATATTCTACCTGAATTTCCGGATACGCTCCCAGAAGAAACAAGGTGAAACTAATGGAGGCTGCAGCGGTATCATGGCCCTGAAAGGGAAAGAAAGAAATGTATAACCTCAAGGACGATTTTTTTTTTTTTTTTTTACTAACTCATAGATGCCAAAACCGGGTCAAAGTGACTCGAGGCTTGCTAAAAACATACGCCCCGCGAGTTGTTGGACTGGGCCCAGTACACACACGCTGTTATAGACAAATAGATTTCGGTCTTTGCCCGGGTATTATATTGGCCTAAACATGGATTTGAAGGCGGATATTGGCGAAAAATGCGAATTTCCTAGGTTTGCGTCCGAATGGCAAAGAATCCGTCTTTTTCACCAAAATCAGCCCTCAGAGTTGAAGAAACTCAGCTAGGGTGGGTCCAAAAACGGCCCATATCGATACGCACCTCCTTCAAGAATTTTCTTTTTTTCAGTGACGATATTGAACTTCAAATGCACACTTACCTCCAAAATAAAAGTATTAACTTCATCCCTCAAATCCTCGTCCGACAAGCTGACGGATCTATCTTCACATGTAGAAAGTAACAGGTCGAGAAAGGCCATTCTGTTAGGTTCTGTAACATCATTTCACATTGATATTCATCATCCGTTTAAATGTCATAGAAAGTGCAAAAATGCCATTAGGGTCGTTCATTAAATACGTAACGCTGAAAAATCGGATTTTTTAACCCCCTTCTCGGATATAATACACCCGTAGCACACACACAGGTCTACACTCTACAATCTCCTCCCTTCGTAAAATGCGGCGTACTTCGAGGTTGGCACGAGTATGAGAATGATACGGCTTGGCCCATCACTCGTTTGTTTAAAAAATAAACTATACGTAACGCTTTGTCTCAAACCCCTCCCCCTTAAATCATCATTTTGTCTAGATAAACAATCACGGACACGCATCGATTTTTCATTTGAGATTTTTAAAAAAATTGCGCTACAAGATCATTTTAGCGTTAGATACGTAACGTAGGCCTTAGCGCCGTCTCCCCCCTGTGATGATTACGTACGTAACGCAGGCTCAGACACCCCTACCATGCCGGAGCGTTACGTATTTTATGAACGGCCCATCATGTGTCTACACCCACCATGGTTTCATCCGTGTTTTACGTCGAGCAATTAGTGGTTACGTAAAGGCGTATCTCAATTTACAAATGAGCTCTGCGCTCCATAAAAATCTATGCTTTACGGGGCTCATGTAGAAATAGAGATACCATATTTACGTAAGAAAAGTACGTATCACTAACGAACCATCACCTATCACTGAATCTATCACTGAAACCTATCATTAACCCTCAACCTATCACTGAAAGTATCGTACACAGGGGAGAAGTATTCCCACCACAGCTGTACGGATGATATCATACACGGTGTTTTTCGATGTACGATTATCTCTATCAATGTTGAACGTAGGAACTTAACTTGCTGTTTGAACGGATCTTATTATTTTTTGCTAATATATAAGGTGAGATCATTAAAACACAATGAAACACTAGTCAGAAATTCTTACAGGCTTCATTTGTGGTTCGTTCGGCGTAATATTTCATGAAAACACCAAAAAGTTCATTAAAAACTTAAAACAACTATTTCTGAGGACAACTCTTGTCAGACTCCAACAAACTTTTCCGACTTGACTTAGCAAGGTGATGTCTGAAAGAGAGTTCAGCCAATCAGCGAGCGCCGTTTCCTCCGCCTGGCTTCCTTATTAAAGCCCGCCAATAGCATCGTTTCAAACGGGTCCCATTTTTGGCATTTTAAAAGCACAATCTCTTTGCCACTTAGGGTCAAAAAATCTGAACAAAATCTGACGCTTAATTAACTCTTTACGTTAAGAATATGAATTAAAAAATGACTCATTTTGTTACTAGCACTGCGCAACTGACCTATTTTTACACAGATAGAAATTTCAACACAAAAGTCTGGTTAATACGGGGAGTAAAGCACAAAATACCCCTTGCGTATAGTTGACCATTTCAAGAGAAAATGCCAGCTAGTTTTCTTGAAGAAATTCAATAATAAACGAGTCGTGAACCCCAACGTCCCAATCGGAGGAATACATTCATCCAGTCTCTCCATTGGTTCCTGCGCTATATTCACCGCAACCCGTACCAAAATAAACACAAACTTTTTGTTGGTTTGTGCTTCACTTCCTATATTAACCAAAAATACCCTAAGAACACAAATATTCTTATCAGTGTACCCTGTCCGAAAGTCCAACTCTGATTACTCACGTCGATTACTTTTTGACTTTTTGAACATTTATTACATACCTTATCTGAAATTTTGAATTTTTAAAAAATAATACATGTTGTGGTGCATAAATACGTACCCTATGTAGTGGTCCATTGACACAGAAGAGGTAAAGGTAGTGTGGAATTCTGCGATGGGTGGATTTGGATTAACAGCAAGTACCTATTCTTTTTAGCAATCATTCTTTTATGCATTCGTGTTCAAGACACGTCGCGCTGCAGGATAATTCTAACGGAACGATTTCCATGATATTTTTCCAAACAGGCTATAGCAATGTTTAAGTGTTCATCCGATGTAACTGTCTCTTGATAAAATGTTTTGTCTCTTGCCTTGTTTCGTCTTTTAGGTAAGCCTTATCCTGATGATCGATCTCACCGCCAATGTGTTTTGACGAGAATTGTGATCTCAAATTCAGTTCTAACCGGTCCTTGCCAGAATGTATCTTTAAGTCTAAGGCAGAGCGGATTTTGGTAATGAGTCGCTTCGAGTTTACCTCAGTAGCTTTTTTCATGATTTTAACGCTCATGGTACAATTCGCCATAGAGTAATACAATTTTTGTCAATAGGATAATTTGAATGGGCTTTAAGGAACCCTACATAATGTCGATGGCTCTGTAAAACTTTTTCCGCGTGTTCCGCTGAGCTAATTTACGGTTTACACAACATTACAGGACGAGAGAACTCAACACTTTAATTTAGCCGTCACGGAATTTTCATAGTGTTTGTATGCAACAAAATGAAGGTTCCTTTTTTTTTTACGGAAAAATCACGAACTGTTCTCGGGACTTTTGACTGCTCGTTTTTGGAGAAACACAATCGAGCGGCTCGAGAAATGCAGCGGTGAGGGATTTTCAGAGCAGAAGAATCGTAAGTACATCGTTGAAATATCACTAATAAACCGCCCGTACCTATCGCTTCCGATATAATTCACAATTTTTGAAGCTGCGCATCTCGCGTCGAGGCGAGCTCTGTTCGCACTGTGAGTCCGAGGTAATCGCTTGGTCGAGCGAAGCCAAAGTCGGCGAAATTTCGGGTGTTTGACCCCTGAGGAGGAAACCGGTTTTTGGCAACTTGATAGCTGGGCTCGCATTAAAAGTAACTCCTGTAGGCAATGTCTGGAGATGAAATCTGTTACGGATGAAAATTATAATCTGCATACACAAGCGGTCTGCGAATGTTAAGACCTGTTCCGATTTCGCATGAGATGTGCTTTCTGGAATACATCCAACAAGACTCTTAATTGAACAGTGGCGTGGCGTGAAGGATCGATTATCGATATATCGTCATTTGAAGCTATGGTAAAGAATCGATTACTAAGGTGTTCGCTACGAACGCCCTGATAATCGATCTTTTTTCATAGGTTTGAATGGCGAATCAATCGATATATCGCAAAGCACGCCACGTCACTGTAATTGAAGAAAGTTTTAGGCGCTTCAAGAGAGAGGCGGATCCTCTTGAAATTACACTGAAAAAAAAAATCTCGGTGTATTTACTAAGAAAAGGGTAAAATTACCAAGAATTCAGGGTTCTATTTGATCCCAGTTTTTTCTTGGTAAAATTACCATTTATGGAATTGGTAATCTTACCGAGAAATCTCGGTAACATTATTGACTCTCTCGGTAATTTTACTGGACCTTGGTAAAAACGCCAATATTTTTTATCGGCAGTGGTAGAATTACCGAGATAAAATGGCAAAGTTACCGGGAATTGATAACCAATAAAAGTGGTATTCTTACCTGAAAAAAAAAACAGTAAAAATACCGGTTTTTAGGTAAGTTTATCAGTCTATCTTGGTAAAATTACCAATAATTGGTAAAAAAGTGAGATGGAAAAGGTACCAACAGACCTTGGTAAAAACGCCGAGAATTTTTTTTCAGTGTAGAACTGATACCTGAAGCAAATGGGTTGATATTTGGAATGCGGGAAATGGAAGTGTTTGGTTCAAAACTCTTATTAGAGATTTGCCAAAGTGGCTGTATAGTGGACTTGAGCAGGTTGACTTTTATCTAACTCAATTTTTCACCGGCGCAGATTTATAAAGCGTGTCCTGGACTTGAAGGAAAAAGATCTAAATCCTAGACAACCTGCCGAAGTAGTGTTTCCGAGCGGTTCCGGCGCGTCGCACAAAAATTTAAATTGAATCAGTGAGTTCGAAAATACACCAACTCGGAAAAAAAAAAATTGTTCGGGAAACACCTTAAACTGCGCAGCGGGTGAAGAAGTTATTTTAAGAAAAACTTCTTTGGTGCCAAATGACAAGTACCTAGAGACTATGTAAAGCATCAAGTTGAAATCGATACACCATGTTTGATGACAGAGAATGAAGCGTTTAAACATTTCCGAGTTGGTGTGTTTGCGTTCTCAATTTTTCATAGCCTGCCCTGAAAAATGTATATTTTTCGACCTGAATAACGCCTGAATATTTATATAACTTGTTGGTACAAGGTGCGCTGAACCGAAAAAAGAAAACCGCAGAATCGGATGGTCACCCGTTTCCCTTGAAATGGCAAAAAATTGGTATTTCCAATTAAATACTTTGATTCTTCCCTTTTCTCGTCGCTGTTTCGAGCACTTCCGATTGCAATTTCAAAATTTCCTTTTGCGTGCAGATGGTTCTATCCATAAATGTTACTAAACCGTAAAAAAAAGAAAATCGAAAAAAATCCGAGTTGGTGTGTTTTCGAACTCACTGATTCAATTAACAGGTGGATTAGTTTTAGCCGGTCAGTTCCTATCTTTACTCAACCTCGTGTATTCTGAATAAATAGAGCCAAAACGGCAATACTTTGTACCCGTTTATTTCGTGGCCGATCAACAAAACAACACAGGAAATGTGTCATTCAGTAATAATTTTTCTATTTTTACCAAGCTCCTCCAAATCTTTCTTGTGCCGTTTTGTTGTTAGGCAAAATGGTATTACGGATCTGGGTGTTTCCTTGGTAATTTTAAAACCACTCAGTGCGACCCCCCTCCCCCCCAAAAAAAGGCACAGGCGGATCGAGGCGGGGCATATGCACCGTGCCCCCCTCCCCCCACCGGATCCTGACCAGATTTTTGGATATTTTCCTGCTCGTCTTCATGTTCCGACAAGTGGTGATTACTCTGACGGCCGTTAAGCCCAACGTAATTAAAATATTGATGATTGCCAAACTATACCTAGAACGAATTTTTATCCCAAATTTTATCTCCAAAATGTTCGCAGAGGAATACCACTGCAAATTATTGCTGTTGTTATATAAGTCTTCTGCGTTAAAGTTTCAAAACTTTTATATCACCACATTTTCAATCTCATTACTGATTTAAAACCAGGCTTTCAAAACTTATTGGATGTTTACAAAAGATCATGTTACTATGAACATTAGCTGCAATAGTTTTCTTTATGGGACGGGGCGTATCTTTAGTTGTGGGATGTATTTTGAAAGATAAATACAAGAACATCAAATCAGATACCTCCAGATAAAAGGCGAAGTGCTACCGCGCTCAAAAGTTTATAAAAAAAAGTAAAAAATCAGGCATCAGCACGCTTTCATAGTGAAATGTTCTTAATAGCAGAAAGCTGGATCAGATGAAGTCTTAACTAACGCACGTACCTTCGTCATTTTTCTTCTTTGACTTTGATTTCACATCCATTCTTTTATTTTTCCCGTTACTGATTGCCTGTAAAAAATGTATTCATTTCATAACCACATTAGCAGAACAAAGGTTAATTTACTCGATACCTGCAATCTACAAATAGAATAACTATATCACAAAAAGGAGCGTGTCTTTGAGTTTTTAAACCATAAATATATTTTTCATGTGACTAAGGGCTCACTTTTTCTTTAAAAGTATGGCACTGTCTCAGCACATAGAGAGGGAAAACTTGAAAGTGTATATCGCGATCACCGTGTAAATTTAGTGCACCATATGCTTCATATTATATAAATTTTATTAATTATTTATTCATTATTTATGTGTACCATTATCTTTTAAAATATATCTTTCCATATTCTAACAAGAAGAGGGTGCTTGATGGTAGTTATGCGGTTTGAAATTCTAAAAAGTAAAAACCAAATTTCTACCTGAGCATTCTTGGAGGGGCAGCACTATCAAAAACATGCAAAAGAAAGAAGAGCACACCTCGAATAATGCTGTAAAATTTAATACACAACGCCGAAGGCATTCCAGCCATCTTCAGAGGCATAAGAAAGTTTAATTGAAGAAACTACGGATTGGTAATCCAAAAATCACAGCTAAAGAATAATCTAAATAATTATCAACGCCAAGGATAGATTAGCGCCCAGGGGCCCAGGGCAATGTTCATTAAGGGCCCCAAAATGCTAAAATTTAACGCCCTCTATGACAATTAAAATTCCAGTCTCACACTGAAAAAAAGGTGTGGCTTATAAACCAATCAGTGGTTCATATGGAACACCATTAATAGTTGTATATGAACTAATAATTGGACCACGTTAAACAGAAAGGAACCAAGCCACATCAGCTAATGCCAAATTTAATTGGGCGATTTAATTTTTTTTCATGAAAACGGTTGCGCGGATTTTCGTGCCAATTTCAGTGAAAATTCTCCATGGTACGAAGCAAATTCCTTAAAAATTTCAAAGAAATCCGAACAAACGTTCTTTGGTAAAAAATGTAATTGCCCAGTTAAACTTGGCAATAGCTGATGCGGCTTGGTTCCTTTCTGCTAAACTCAGTCCAACTATCGGTCTGTTAGCATGAGCAATACTGTGGTAGCTCGTACCATAGTATGGTATGAGGTATATGTACTATTATTATATGTTGCCTTCACTACTATTAGAAGTGTTCCATGTAAACCACTTATTGGTTTATAAGCCGTAGATTTTTCTCCGTGTGCGGCCTCTCTAAATCCATATTTTGGACTCCAATGACCCCCACTGGAAAAAAAAACACATAGGATCTTGAGTCCAGACTCTTAAAAAAACATCAACAAGAAAAAATACTCTGGATTCAATCAGATTCAAGCTTAAATCAAGAACCAAGCCTCTTAATTTAAGCGGATTTCCTTATGATTTAAGCTTAAATCTGATTGAATCAAGAGTCCTTTCTCCTGACAATGTTTTCAAGAGTCTGGACTCTAGATCCAATGTGTTTTTATATTTCCAGTGCCAAAAGGATTTCGAATAAAAAATAATCACCTAGGCGGACCCGTGGGGCAGGGGGCCCGCCACCTGACATCTTCCCGACACCCCTGCTAATCCGGTCCGAATCAGTGCATTACATGCAAATCAGTGACGTGGCGTGAATGATCAATATATCCTCATTTGTAGCTATGGTGAAGAATCGATTATTAAGGCGTTCGCTGCGAACACCCTGTCTATCGATCGTTTTCCATAGGTTTAAATGACAGATCAATAGATATATCGCAAAGGACGCCACACCACTGCTGCAAATACAAGCGCGAGAGGAGATTAACAATGGAGGATGGTAACATTTCACTCACACGAAGAAAAATCGAGATTAAATAATCCCTTCAAGTAGTGCTCCCATTCCCCGGGAAATTTGGGAGCATTGCCCCCTAGTATCAACACATATGAAAATCAAAAAATCTGCATCTGCATGAGTCGAAAACTCAACAATTTATAATTGTAAAACTTCAGTCATTTTACCTTATCAGTGAGCTCAAAAATCGTGTTCAAATCCCTCCAGTATTTTTTACCGCAGGACATGATGAAAAAAGGGAGGTCAAACCAGTACCATGGCTTAACAACTCTTTCTTGAGACATGTGAATGCAGCTGAAAAGCGGACAATAGAACTTCATTTGAATGCAAATCAGGTGGCATTTACACTGACTTAAGGCGTCTCAAAGAAAATCGTGTGGCGATTTGAAAGCGCAATATATTCCAACTTTTTATTCTATTGAAAACAACTCCGGCCGTGGAAGCCGTACTTACGGGCTGAATAGACATACCGTTCACGTTCCGGGCGTAGCTACCGGAGCAGTCGAAGCTGCGGCTCCAGCACCCGGAACTTTCGGCCTCTTAGCCCGGAACGGACAGTATGTCTATGAAACCCGTAACTTTTTCTCTCAGTGTGCTGTTTCAATCATTCGCTTGCAGTTGAACATATTTTTTTTTTTTTATTTTTTTTTTAACAAATGGGGATTAATTAATAAATTAATAAAAAAGAGAATGATCGCCCTTACTGACAGTATTTTTTTGTAATTTAGTAACTTTAACATTATAAAATGCATGTAGGTAACGCTGAATACGAGAGTCACAGTTTCAATATCGCCCTAAAAACAAAAGCTCAAAACACTGTAAGGCGAGGGAAAAAACGGAAACGAATAGGAAAAGAAGAACTTACTCCTCAACTGCCCGAATGTAGTTGTTATTTGGATTTTTTAAAGCGTTGATCTCAATCCCCATAGCAGACTCTGGAAGAGAGGATGAATGAAAATCAGTAATTGCTCTACACTGATCTCTCTCAATGATTCAGTCATTTATGCATACTGAAAATAGTGTACTTCGTTCAAGATAAGATATTCATCATACTTTGAACATTTTCTTTTTCGACTCTTGAATTATTAGCATTAAAAAATTTATCTACAATCCACGTTATTAGATTATACCATTTTTTTTTTTTTTTTAATAAAATAAAAAAACAAAAATTAATTATTTTAGTGCATGATTACACGCGGGTACAGAAGTGAGTAATGGCAAGAAATTTGGCAAATACTGCTCTACACTTTTGCGCGAAATTTTTTAGAGAATATTCTTGAAAGAATTTCAAGTAGAGTAGAATGAATCAGTGGCGTCATAATCGACTATCAATATTATCCCATTTGAAGCTATGGTAAAAGATCGATTATTAAGATGTTCGTTGCGACACTAGCATAATCAATATTTTTTCATAGGTTTTTAATGGCATATAAATCGATACATCGAAAAGCGCGCCATGCCTCTGGTATAAATATGACATGAGATTTCCAATATCGTAGACGTAATAACGAGGCTCGGTTTTGACTTTTGACGTATATTACATTGACTGACCACAAATGTTGTCCAGGGTGAGTAGCTTTATGATTTTGAAAACATCGATGAGGGATCCATCCGGATATTTGTGTAATTGTTGGACGAGCGTAAGTGTATTTTTGACGAATACCTCACAAAATTCATTCAGCTTAGAGAAGTGAAATGCCGGAGTCAGGAGTTTCCTACGTTCGTGCCACATCTGCCCTGATGAGAGGAAGAGAGAATTGTTAAAAATAAACAATCATTTGGAGCACCGTTTTCTTAAATTATAATGTCATTTACGAAAAGTAGGGAAGGAAAACTAAAACCCACATCGAGATGCTTGACACCATGAAAATATTAAATATCACTCTGTGAAACTATCATTCCAAAATTGAAAAACTAAAAATGAAGCAATACTTTTCAGTTCGCGGACCCTTTCGGTCCTAGCCTGACGACTTACAACCCCCTTTGCAAACGTCACTGAAAATAATTTGAAATACAAACAATTTGAAACAAAACTATAGAACATCCAGTAGTAACATCCAGGTAAATTAGGGTTTACGTCACCAAGGCAGAATCTTTTCTTCAATCTGTCATGTTTCCCTGCTTACGATTCGTTAATAATTATAGCACTATTTGAACCGCGTTAAACAGAAAGGAACCAAGCCACATCATCTATTGCCAAATTTAACCGTGAAATTGTATTTTTTACAAGAGAACTTTTGTGGGGATTCCTTTGAAAATGTCAAGGAAGTTGCTATGTGTTATGAAAAAAATTCACTGAAATTTGCACGAAAATCCGCACAACCGTTATCATGTAAAAAATGAAATTGCCCGATTAAATTTGACAATAGCTGATGTGGCTTGGTTCCTTTCTGTTTAATTCGGTCCATTTTTTCTCTGTAATGTGATGGTTACACGCTCAAATACCCATCAATCTCCGATGAAATGGTGACTGGTGCGCACCATCTACCATCAAATCTCTGCGGCCTGCCAAAATTTGATGGTAGATGATGGAGCTGTGGGGCTATCCTTCATCTGATTTCCACACAACCGTGCTTATTTCATGCATATTTCAATCAACACGCTGTTTTAATTAATTTTACTGATCAATCTAGATAACTCCTTGTCTCTGATAACTCCCGACAGCCATCTTGGTCATCATTTTGATCAGAATTTGACGGAAAGAGCGTGTAACCAGGCCGTATTGAAATTCATTTTCCCCTCGCGGCCCCCCGAGTGGCCATCACGGCCCTCCGGGGGTTTGCGGACCACAGTTTGAGAAGTGCCGCTTTAATTCATATTATCCAATATCAGATTCATCAATCAAGCCAAAAGATTTTTTATTTTCCTTTCTTTAGACACATTTTCGCGAGTGGATTCGGTCGAAGTTCTTTACTTTCTGCCAACCTCTGTTACAACAAAACACAATTCCCTCCGTGTGACGGTGTGCGTAAAATATTTAGTTTTCATTCTGGGAGCATTGACGACCACATCCAAAATTCTCGGGTCATCTCGGGCGGTGAGTCGAAAAGCGGATGGATGCATAGGTACGTCGGCCATAATTCATGAAGCAACTGAGTTTAGTTCTTGAATTCAGCGGAGCGTTCTTCTCCATCAGTTTGCAACCCTGCCACACTGGTTGAAGAAGCCGACCGAATCCGCTCGTTGAAATTCGCCTTTTTTTTTTGGCCTCACCGAAATAATAAATGGACTTACCTTTGCTGGTCAGGAGCCCAAGTCCGAGCCAAACGTGGAGCAACCGATAAAGCTCAGGTTTAGCTTGAGTGGCTTCAGATGTGAAGAATATCTGAAAAATTAGAATGAGCATATCTTATTGAAAAACAAAGTATGAAACTGTCTGGTCCTATTAAACAATATCTGCGATGTAAAATCTGCGAATTGTATGAAAAAAGGCTGATATATCAGAACGATGTGGGGAATTTAGGGCAGCGGCAGATAAGCTTCACTTTACTTCCATCTCTTTAGATAAAATGACGATTTTTGATGGAAATAACAACATTTTTACAATACAAGATTTCCATTTACTTGTCGCAATTTTACGCGGAAATTATTTCAAAATTTTGTTGAAAATCTCACCAATTTATGTACCTAAAGAATTACCGTCAAAAAGCAGAGAGGTTTTGGACAAAAATTGAGGCATTATTTTCGCATTAGAAAATGAATGGGCCTGTTGCAAACTTTTGCTAGAGCAAAAATAAGAGTTGTTTCTTATAGATAATGCCTCAAAAATCACGATGAGCGCATCGGCAAAGTCTGAAATGCACTCATAACTTCACAGTCTGCGTAAGAAATTTGCGGTTTTTTTAGCTTCCCGCTTCAAAAACGATACTACGACACAGGTGAACATTTTGTAAGAGGAGTCGCTCCATCGTCGGCAATAATCATCATGGCCGACGCCAATCCGCCGAAACACGTTTGATGGGACGAGATACAACACCTGAACTGGATTAGACCGGATAACAATCGGTGTGTTAACGTTCATATTTTCCACGCCCGAATTGATTGACCCTGAACTCTCCTTGAATCACGCACGGAACTGCGAGCAAGCGTCGGCCACGATGAATATTGGCGACGATGGAGCGACTCCTCTAACAAAATGTTCACCTGTGCCGTAGTATCGTTTTTGAAGCGGGAAGCTTAAAAAACGCAAATTTCTTACGCAGATTGTGAAGTTATGAGTGCATTTCAGTGTTTGCCGATGCGCTCATCGTGATTTTTGAGGCATTATCTACAAGAAACAACTCTTATTTTTGCTCTAGCAAAAGTTTGCAACAGGCCCATTGTCTAAGCACGTTTTGCAATTTAGAGGATAAGATACTTTCTTTTGTTTTGGAAGCTTGGCCGAAAAGAAGAGGCCATCAACGCAATAAGATACGTATCTTAAATCTGAAAAATCCCAAAGTGAGACAATTTTTTAAAAACACTTACACAGTTTCCACAGTGTTTTCATGCATCTTTTGAAAACACGTCGGCCCAAAAATGTCAAACTGAATCGGAATTTCGATGATTATTGAAATTGAAACTAAAAAATTCGATTTTTGAGAGCTAGCTATTCGAAGTCTCAGGTTTCTTAATTTAGATTCCTAATTATTAAAAAAAAAAAAAAAAAAAAAAAAAAAAAAAAATACTATTAGGAATACCTAAAATAAAAATTAACATTTTTCTTCCTGTGCTAGAATTTAAGTACAACTTTATGCCCTTTGTTTGCAAGAAATTGAAATAAATTGCTCCCAACTTACATTATACAGAGTGGTTTAATAAAAGATTAACATTTTCTCAGTTTCTAAGTCACTCTGCTAAAAAGTTGCGTTTTTTTTCACTGACGGTACACACAAAATGCAATGCCTGTACTTGCCTTGCACGTAAAACATTCGTGCACAAACAATAATTTGCCAGTTAATTCAATAAAAGTCAATTTCCCGGATAAGCACGGATTGAAGTTCTTATTCTTGAGTGTTCCGTTGATCTTTGAATCATATTAAAGCCAAATTCAATCAACGCACCTCGGCGTATTTTGCCTCTGCTATGAAAACTGTGGGATAATAAACAAGCCACAGCCTGTATATTCCTCCATACTCCTTAAATTGCTTGTGCATCTCCGTCGGTAGTTCTGCAATTAAAAATGTAAAAAATAATGAAACACGCTTATCACTCATAATACTAATGGACTTTTAAATTTTTGCCCAGGATAATTTTTTTTTATTTTTTCTAAAACATATATTATTTTTTTAGTTGATATTTTCATTCTTTTTTGGAGGAAAAAACTAGGTAATACTTCCAAAACCTTTATAGCGAGTTGTGGAGAAACAGACGGTGGTTCTTTGGCTACTAATCGGACGCCTTACAGTGGACCGAGTCAATCATAGAGGTCGGACATAACATTTTTGACTAAAACTGCAAATTTGGATGTTTAATTCGTCACGTGCTAAAATATGAGAGGTGCTTTTGCAAGAAAATTTCACGAGGAAACCAATGGAGCCAGTTTTAAAATCTCAAAGTTTTGATTTATCGGAGTCATAAGCGTTCAAAGTTTCCCAACTTCGTCCGACCTCTCCCATTAACTCGATCCACTGTGCGCCCTCAGCAGTCAGCACAGAGCGGTTGCCGAGAGATCGGAGAAAAAAAACGGAAACCATATCAAAAAATCATTGGCCTAATAAAGGAGGGAAAAATATAGGTCTACTGAATGATAAATTATAACTTTAAAGTAGTTTAAGGGAGATCTCTATTGAAACTATAAGAAAAGCAGTTGCTGTCATAATCTGTTTCAGAGGAAACTTTCATACTCTAGCTAAATATCCCTTAAAAAAAGTTCATTCGCTAAACCCCAACCATTTCCCCCTTAAAAGACACCTGGCACCTAAAGTGCAAGTAACTCAGCACCAAGAATTTCTTGAATTCATTCTTTAACACATTCTTGAACACATTCTTGGATTTTCAAGTCTTCAGTCCAATGTGAGAATTCCTTAAAACTTCTTCATGAATGTATGAAATATTGAATGCTGTGTATTTTTTTCCTTGATTTTGGTTACATTTATCAATATTAATGAGAACTCACCTTCAGGAGACACGACGGCTTCTTTCAAATGCCCTAAAATTTTATATTTTAGCGGCGGACCGGGCAATTTCTCTAAAATATTGAATTGTCTATGCCATATCAGAGATCTTTGAATGAGTCTAAAAAGGGCGATGCAGCCGACGACAGCAAATAAAATCAACAATATCATTTTTATGATTTTTAATTATGACTTAGAAAACAAACTATTGAATGCGGAATGTTTCCACAAAAAACGGAATTAATGAACTCACAGCACATTTTGTCATTTTCTTCGAATAAATGTGTCCAATTTAAATACAAAAATGAATGAAGAATTTCGTGTATTTTCTCGTTTGAAAACAAGCGCGCGTCTTTCAGTATATATTCAGCACAAGTGGCCGATGTCTTCAAAAAACAGGTAAAAACAACCTGACAAGTGCAATTTTTCGATTCAACTGGGAAATATCAAGAAACTGAAAAATTGAGGAAAATTAGGATTATAGAGCACGTGTGATTTCTAGAGGTGAGTGAGGTTATCCAATTTGTGATAATGACCACAAGTGCGTGATTCAGTACAAGGTAAGAATCGCTGCCACACGCACACTCGATCTCTCTGTCTGAAGTTAGCAGTCACATTCTACTTTACCGTCGGAAGTTCTTTTATTGATGGAAACATTTCGATATCATAAAGTGTTAATGAATATAAAATGTATGAACATAATTACGTTTCGTAATGATAATAATTTGAGGTCATGATTAATCAAAACTGTAATTAGGTCCTATTCCACGAAAGACGAAATTTTCAAACCTCTGTTCAATGGACCATTGATCAAAGAAATATGTTCTTAAGTGTTTTAAAAAAATTGCCTCTAAAACGAATGGGAGGGTTTTTTTTTTTTTTTTATTTTAGTTGCCCGGTTATTTTGTCCTTTTATGTTATGTAAGGAAACAGCTTTAGTGCATTCAAAATGCAATATATTTTTGACCCAATTTTTGTGTGTCTTTTAATACTAATTTTGTGAAAAAATACAGCTACTTATTTGGTTACAGTTATCTAACATTCTGATCGAGATTATTAAGTATAAAAATGCAATACAATTTCAGTTAGAAATATCCTAAATATTTTGATAAAAATCCTATTTGTGAGTGAAAGTTTTCCAACATTGAATGCAATTACGTCATTTTGTCTGGGTATAATGAAAATATATGTGTACCTATGATTCTTCTTTCATATTTGATACTTTACACTTATACAATCTATTTTTCACGATTTTCCGAAACTCTCCTCTCGGGAAAATTTAAAGCACCAAAAAATGTACAAGTAATACTATTCTTTTCTTCTTCTTTTTAAATATAATGTCAACTTTCGAAGCCATGAAATTTTTTCCTGCGCGTAAATCTAACATTTAGGTTTTTCTGAGATCTGATGACCATCGCAAAACTCAGCTGAAGTTCATCCATGCCATGCTCTGACTCCAGCAAAAAATCACGTAGAATATATGACAGTACCACTTTTTCCTCCAACATGGCGAACTTTTGTCCTGAAACAGTATTAAAACGGCTTAGAATAATTATTTTGTAAGAGAGAACATGTTTATAAACACGCACAAAAGGGATTTAGCCAAGAATGGAAATGTACCAATATTTGAATCGAGACATACGAAAAAGACGCAGGCCCGTAAACTCGAGAGCCCTGGCTTTTGTTGTCAATGTATTTTGTCATGGCTTATGGGTATTCGGAATTCGCCTTTTACGTATGTCAAAATATGACTTTAATTATAACATGCATCATGTGAAAAATGCGAAAGTCTGAATATTCATGAGTCATGTTAGGCAATATTAACGACAAAAACTAGGGTTCATGAGTTTTCAGGCTTCTACTCTTTTTGGATAGCTCTATAAAATAATAGCCCGCGAAAAAAGGGGCCTATGGGGCTTTGAGCCTATGTTTGCTACAGGGGAAATCGTTCAGTAAAACGATGTCGTGTTAAAAAATCAGATTTTACTCAGCAAAAATAGCTCTAACGATGTTTTTCCTCGTCAATTAAGGACCCCCTCTATGTAAGCGGTCGCACATAAGACTAACGTGAGTTGTATGTATCAAACCTGCAGGCAAACTCAGAAAAATATGGTCATCTAAAAAAAAGAATTTCAATCGTGGATTAAATGCAATAATCATTGCGAACTAGCTTTCGTGCGATTTATTGTTTGATGTTGCACGCACGGCTTTTGAGAATGAAATTGGTATAAATGACTCACTTACCAATGCAGTTCCTCGGACCTGCAGCGAAAGGAACGTATGCAAAAGGATGTCGACCCAAACTCTCCTCTGGACTGAACCGATCAGGATTAAACTTTTCTGGATCTGGGAAAACCTTCGGGTCTCGGTGCAGGTTGTAGACATTCAATAAGATAACTGATTTCTTCGGAATCATGTGGTCACCTGAACAAAATAACAGGAACAAGATAAAGGAAATTTTCGCTGATTTATATGAAGATGAAAAGATATTGTTTTAAAATTACTGCCCTAAGTTTATTTGAGTCCAGGAGTTCGTCGATGTCTCTCGCAAGATTTTCAGTCAACTTTAAGCGTTGCATTTAAAATTTCATTCATGGTTATGTAGGTATTTGAAATAAAAAATTGAGAGTACACAATTTAAAATAAATTAATGAAATGCAGGGCCGGATTCGCCTACTTGCCGCCCATGGGCCGCCTGGATTTTTCCGCCCCCTTCTCATTTGTTCTGAAACATCAATAGATCGTATTCGACAGTGACATGTCGTTGGTATGTATTGTATGAAGTGGTATGTATCGTTTGGTTAACAATAGAACATAACCCCAAACAAAAATATTAGGGTTTAATTTGGAAACGCTGAAAATGAGAAAATTCCTAACAATTTCACTTTTCATTGCCATTTGGTACTCGAGAGAATAAAAATTCGATCACATAAGACCCGTTACCTCAGATTCCTGAATTGACTTTTGAGGCTGTGGTTACACATTGAACCAATCGATATCAATATAATCTCACCTGTGTGATCTGTCGAATATGATCTATAAAAACCATCGAGTGAACGTGCCGGTGGGGGAGGGGTGTATGAGACGCGTTTACTCGTGTTGGGCACATTTTTTGTGAAAGCCCTGTCAACACTAACCAAAGGTCAGTTCCGTAAACCCATCCCTGTTTGGACAAGGCCTTCCATTTATAAAAAACGAACGAAAAAATTATGAAAGAACAAGCATAAATGTGGTTAAAAATGTTAACTTCCACCACCGCGCCGACCGCACCTTGTTGGCGCAATGCGTGAAGTATTCATGCAGTTTTGTAGGCGCTATGCGTTTCATGCCGACCGCCGAGCCGTTCTAGGTCAAATTGCGTGTTTGGTTTCTCTCTTAATTCGACAAATTAAAGGTGCTGTCTCTTGTATCACCGGAAGACGACAAAATTAGAAATTACTATACTTTTACTCTCAGGAAATGAGAGATTTTGTCGCCATTACTCGTTTGTAATTTATTTTCTGAATCCGATTTTTCTCTCTCTTTTTTTGATACCTACATTCAAAGAGATTGCAAAATTTGCCGCCATGGGCCGCGGCCCATGTGGCCACCCCCTTAATCCGGCCCTGATAAAATGTTCTTTTCTTTCCACGAGTGATGAGTGTAATTCACAGTAACATTCAATGGGTTATTAACAGTGATAAATGCATATCAAACGCTATATCACTTGCAAATTTCGATAAGATTCTACGTGGTTTTTTGTTTGATATGTTTGCCTAGCTGACTTTCATTAAAGTCCTTTGGAAAAAAGTGGGTATAGACCTACATGGAACTTGAAAATCGAGAAAAATTGATCAGTAGGTAAATCACTCGTACTACATTATCCTCTTGCGTTGATATAATTTCATAGCCTACAATTATACCGGGAAAAAATTATTTTTGAGAAACAAGATCAAATTATTTGGAATGCCTCACTGGAACAATTATCTTTTCTTAGTAAACAAGACATTCAATACATATCTTAAAGGTGAGTTCATGTGGTTGGGGTTTTTTACTATTATTAACGAGTCACTCTTACAGCACTTCTATGTGCTCTGTGGCACCCAACCGCCACTGATAGCGATCCTGCCAGAGCTCCTCCGGCAGATCGCATCTCGCTTATTTCCTACCTCATTCTCTCAATCCACGAATTGGCAGAGGGCCCTTTACGCAGGGGTTTTCTTACTGAACCTAAAAAAAAGTGAATGTTGTTGGCGTTATTTAAAAAAAAAATGGCAGCTTGACGAGGGATTTTACCTAATTTTACGTCATCCGTAGCTTCCCTCCCTAAGACTGGGACACTTGGAAACATACGCATACTTTCTTTGATCACTTGCTCCAAATATTTCATTTTCTGCAAATCCTCCATAGTTGGGCTTCGATCTGAGTCTTGAAAAATTTCACGAAGTTCTTGGTAACATTTTTCCTGCAGGGAACAAAAGAAAGATTAGAATTTGTCTCTGCAAAACTAATAAGCCAATTTCAGTGCACCAAGATTTCCGTGAAGTAAGTTGATAGTATTTTCCTTTTATCTAACGCCCAGGCAGTGGATACTTTATTAGCCTGCGTAAACAAGCTCTGATGGATGTAAATGTTTGATATTTTCTTAAACCATGGACCCAGACCGTTATGGACTCGTGAAACATTCACCAGAGGTGGATCCATTAATTTGGCAACACCGAATTCTTCCATTTAAACATATGCTAAATAATCGATTCTATGTCGGAGCACCTGGCCCCTCGAAGAATCGATACATATCCATAGGTATAAATGGAGGAAATCCGGTGTTACCAAATTGCTGGATTTACCAGTGACGTTCATTGAACGGATATGTTTAAAATTCGATTTCTATGCTCATCCCTTTTTGCAGAGGGCTTTTCAGATTTTGATCAGATAGAGCATCATTGGAAAGTATACATTGACGGATCCAGCAAATTGGTAACACTGTTTCTCTCCATTTAAACCTATGAAAATGTATCGATTCTTGGAGGGGCCAGGTGCTCCGACAAGAATCGATTATTTAACACAGGTTTAAATGGACGGAATTCGTTGTTGCCAAATTGCTGGATCCGCTCCTGAAAGTATAATGAACGGGCGCATACTACCTGAATCTCAGGATGAACTCCCAAGAGGAATAAAGTGAAGCCCATCGATGCTGCAGTCGTATCATGCCCCTGCAAGAATCGAAAAACGATACAAAATAATGCAACGCTCCTTCTGGAAAGGCACGAGAAAACCTTAAAAATTGCTGGCTACTGTCTCATTAATTTTCTAGTAGCTTTCAGCCCGCTTTGGGTGTAATCTCTACTAGAGACCCTTTCTCCTGCAATGTCAGTTCACACTTGACATCCGAAAATGACAGTCGGCTATACTGCCGCATGTTAAAGAAGAACGCTCCGCAATAAAAACCTAATTTACTGGGAAAATTGTGAATATTTTTCTTCAATTTTTCAGAGAATGTTGTTCACGATTTTATCTGAGACTCCTGAAAATTTCGAAGAAATAAACGGACAATTTTCCTCGAAAATACGTGCTTTATCCGGGACAATGTGGCAACTCGAACATTCATACGGCATTCTTCCTTAGCACGGCCGTGTAGGGCATGTTTGATCACTATACTGCCGTGCTAAAGAAGAACGCCGTAAGAACCTTCAGGCGTAACCAAATTTCCTTTGATAAAACATGAATTTCCTGATAAACTGTTGAATATTCTTCTTCCTGTTTTTCAGATAATTTTGTTCGCAATTGCATTTAGAGTTCCTGAAAATTTCGGGGGAAATTATACATACCTTTACTCAAAAACAAACATTTTATCGGAGGAAATTTTGCAACACTCGAATGTTCATACGGCGCTCTTCCTTTCCTTAGCACGGCAGCATAGGATAGGTGATTGATGGGCATCCTAGGAGACAGGATACTGCTGATGTAAACAACGTACGCAACACCAGGCTCTCCACGCAGATGGATGGTTTTATAAATGGGTCAGAGATAGCGATTCCTTATCGCAAAATGTAGTCAAACTAAGAATCTCCGCTTCTCAGAGGTTACAAATGTAAAATTTACAAGTTCCTCTAATCCTCCATGCCACAGGTGTTGGCATCCAGATTTGGCATTCATGGACGAGCAGCCACTCAACCTAACGGCCCCAGCGGAACCGGTTGAAGTGACTGATCGCCAGGAAAAAGTACCCATCATAATTATTTAAACCGCAAGTAAAAACCCAAATAAGCCAAGTACGTGTAGTTGTAGCATCGGTGCCTCAACCGAGCTGTGCCGTGTTGCCAATCGGACGTATTTATGCTAAATGGAACTGCAAGTGCAAGTGGAAAGATGGGGTGTGCTCGTTTGTGGTTGGGCCATAAGAATGAATGGGAAATATGAAGCACCAGTGACGTCAGCGGCAACGACGAGAGAAACGACGATCGCGGTGGTCTTTAACTCATGAGCCCTGTCCACAAGGCTCTAGATACATGCCCACAGCTCATACACTGTGCACATAGTTCCGTTTGACAGGACGTGAAATCCCGCTTCTCCAATTCAGCAAACGGAAATGTGAGCCAAATAAGTGCGGCACCTATGAGCCGTGGGCATGTATCTCGTCCTTGTGGACAGGACTCATGAGTTAACCCCGCCCCGACCGTCGTTTCTCTCATCGTTGCCGCTGACGTCACTGGCGCTTTATATTTCCCATTCATTCTTATAGCCCGACCACTAACGAGCACACCCCATCTTTTCATCTACACATAGTTCTATTTGATAGAAATACGTCCAATTGTTGGAGGGTAGGTGACTTACCCGGATGTGGTTATCGCCACTCATAATTGATCTGGATCTCAACTCAAACCGCTGAGGCTCACAAACTCACCTCAAACATGAAAGTGTTGACCTCATCTCTCAGATCTTCATCCGATAAAGTAACGGAACTGTCCTCGCACGATGCAAGTAGAAGATCAAGGAAAGCCATTTTTTTAGGTTCTGAAACAATATTGATACCAATCAGGTGATCGCCGAAATAAAAATAATACAATTCAAATTGACCTTTTTGAAGAATCCTCTAATTATCCGTGAAATTCTGGGAGGTGAGGAAGAATTATGACGTATCGAGAAGAAGTGGCGATTCTTGAAAGTTGACAACACTGTTTTCCTCCATTTAAATGTATGCAAAAGAATCGTTTCTTGGTGAGACCGCCTGCCTAATCTAAAATCGATGTTTCATATGGATTTAAATACAGAAAAAAGTGTTTTTGACTTCAAGTCGAGTCAAAGAATGTTATGACGGACAAAACGCTCAGCTTACTGGAGAAAAGACGCCTAGAGAATGAGTTAGAACTATACTTTCAAGCAACTTCAATTTCAATTTTTCCATTCGATTTTTCAAGGCATTTTTTTCCGGCTGTCTAGAGAATTTTTATCACAACTCAGTCTAAAGTGTCTGAGACTCAGCAAGAAAATATAATCATAATTTCCCTCAAAAATAAATATTTCGCCGGAAAAAATGTGGCATCAATCGAATGTATACCTACAACGTTTTACCATAGTACCGTAGATTTGTTACACTCGGTTTATTACACTCGGTTAGAGGTATTGGAATCAGTTCGAATACCTGTACCAGAAATACTTGTTTACGTGTCGATCTTGGCCGTGGTATTGATTTTTTCAAGTAAAACATTGGTTTAACTTAATTCGTTCCAATCGGTAGTTTTTTGGGGGGTCAAAATTTACGTTTCCCGTAAAATTTTTGTTTTGTTCCATTTTGCTATTTTCAGTGCATTAGGCAATGGATGAGAGGATCACTAGTTTACATACCTTCGGCCTCGTCGAGGTGCTGAGAGGAATTTTGTATTCTTTCTGCTCTTCCTATTTTTCTGTTATTAATGGCCTGTAACAGGTGGGTTCAATTCAATTCTGAGACTAACGAATACAAACACTTCATAAATAGTTGCAAGACGTAGTCCATATTTCTGGACGGAGAAATTGGAACATAATATAATTTTAACTAACATATTTACCCGACTTTTTGTAGTTTCCTCATTGCACCTTGGAAGTTGTATACGTGTATTAAGGTTTGTGTTGTTACAGATTTCCTGTCACACGTTTCATTTTTACTAAAGGCAAATGGTAATCGTTTATGGTCCGTGTTCCATGCGATTTATTAGGATTTTCTTTGAATATCTCGCACTAAAACGATAAAATTTGTTTTTCCATAGAGAAAAAAATTAACAACAAAGAATCCAAACAAAAGGACGACTAATTAAAGTAAGTCAGAGGAAATTCCACATGTCATGCTCAGATATACCGAATTTGTTTCAAATCCGACGGGCGGCAACTTTACAATACATTTAAAGAATGCATTTCTCGAAAAATTTTCAATATCGCAAGAAAATTCAGTAAAAGTTTAACTCATCCGGACAAAAGGCAACGCTTGGATGAGATAATGTGTGAAAGAAAAAATGGCTCAAAGCTTCAAAGAATGTCGCGTGCGATGGATACTAAATTAATTTTATCATATCGCCTGTATGCAACTATTCGGGCTCATTGGATGTCCGTGTTGCATACGCCCGGCCTTGAAGGCGTTTTGACTTCAGACACTAACCGCCTAGCCAGTGGCGCTCGGTGGAGCAAATCAACGAGAAGGTTCGGAAAAATTGTAGAAACCTTAAAAACTCATGATCGATGTTAATTCGGAACGTAGAAGTTTCAAAAGTGGTTACATTGATTTTCTCGTAAAATTTTCTTCGAGGAGCACTCCATAAAATTAACAACCCGTACAAATGAACATCAATATTTGGAGCCCCAGTCGAAAATTTCATGTCCAACCTTTTTTAAGGGTAAGATTCATTGTGCGGCAGGCTTTACGGAGGATTTAAAATGGCAGAGATTCTTCATCAATACTCCGAAGACATCTGTTACGCATGAATAGTTGCTCTACAAATAAAAATATACATATGTAAGAAAAAAAATTATTTCAGGTGCCTCTGCAAAAATTATGGTAGTGAAACTGGAAACCCTGAGGGATCAGCATTTTTCTTATGAGAGCTAATGGCGGCATAAAGTCAAGGAATAAATTTGCTTGCGATTTCGCAAATCGAGTATTAACTTCATTTACACACCATACGTAAAAATATGTGGAGCGACATGCAAAGATAAAAAGTGCATCATCTTATACGGAAAATTGGACGTATTACCTTATCTGTAAGCTCAAAAATCGTATGCAAATCTTTCCAGTATTTTCTACCGTTCGGCATGATGAAGAATTGGAAATCATTCCAGCACCAGGGCTTGGTGAATCTCTCCATTGTCATGTGCGTGCAGCTAAAATATGGAATAAGGGAAAATACTGTTATCAATAGCCGGAATCATTCTAAATTGATTTGAACTATAATGAGAGGGTACGCTTCGATGGAAATTCTATAATTAAGGATTGGAAAAAGTATCATCATAAGATCGGGTGATTTATTAATTAGCCTCCCACAAATATTCACTTTTCAGGACTTCAAAATAAATTTTCTTTAATTTTTTTAGAGTAATTTGACTAAGAATTAAAGTGAAAAAGATATTTATTCTCATGAAAATACTGAAGGAGAAGATGAAGGAGAAGAAGGAGGAGGTGGACGAAAATGCGGAGAAGGAGGGCTGAATGGCTCAAAGATACAAATTTGGAAAAACTTACTCTTCTACTGCCCGAATATAGTTGTGATTTGGATTTTTCAAGGCGTTGATTTCAATCCCCATTGCAGTTTCTAAAAAAAGAGAATAGGAGATTAAATAACGTATTTGCCCGGTCGGACCGAAGATTAAATTTGCAGGTAAGTATTGCACTTGTATTTACTAGATTTCCAAGAGATCGTATGATCGATAGTTGGATGAAAGGATAGCTTTTTCGATAAAATTATAAACTTGTTATTTTATTGCGGAAGTTATCCAAATTTCCGTGAGATTTTTTGATATTATTGAACCACATGTTAAGCAAAGTTGGGAAACGCATAAGCGATTTGAAAGTTCCTCCATTTATGTAGGTACGCAATTAGATATGGGAGTTGAAATAGTTGACAAAGGTGAAGAATTTTGACGTATTACAATTGATCGAAGTTTAATTAAGCCAGTTGGCTTGGTAATGAATTTCTCTAAAATTGATTCATCACTTACGCCTTGTCTCCACGAGATGTTTCACGGGATTTTTCCCATGTTCGAATCACAGGAATGAAATTTCTGAGCTTTTTTCCCGTTAAATAACACAACAAAATTTCTTCTTCTTTTTTTTACGTCGTTTCTGGGACTCTATATTGACTCTTACTTAGCACTATGATTAGTACTGACTAACTCAATATTTTTCTTCACAACTTCACAAGTGAAATTTCTCCCTGGGACAAATCCTATGGAACGTCCCGTGGAGACAAAACCATATCCTTTAGGTACACAATCTATTCTAATTATTCTAAAGTTGGGATCTGCACAAATATTTAAAACAATGTCCTCTCAATCTTCTTACGTATTGGGCTAATGAGCTCTTATTAAGGGTACTGGACTCACCGCAAATATTATCCAAAGCAACTAGTTTCATCAGTGTAGTTACGTCAACAAGACTTCCATCCGGTGTTTGATGTAACTGTTGGACCATCGTCCGAGTGTTTTTGACAAATACGTCGCAAAATTTTGTCAGATTTGAGAAATGAAAAGCAGGAGTTAAGAGTTTCCTACATTTCTGCCAAAGCTGTCCTGTAGGGAGAGAGAGAGACAGAATAACGTGAGCATCTTAGCAAAAATAGATAGGAGGGTTAAAGTAGGAATAAGATATGAAAAACTCATGAAGAGTATACTTTTTCAAAAAACAAGAATGTACAGGGAACACTTTTTACGGAAAAATACTGTAGATATGGACATTCTGTTAATAATTGCAGTTCTTGAACTGCAGGTGTGAGAGAAAACTGTTCAAGATTGTTATTTGCCATACAGGGCCCATGGCTGTTGGATTTTATGCAATTTCCTCCAGTCTATTGGCGCAAAATTATAGTTACCGCTCTCGCCTCTTTTTTTTGTGAAACTGTTGCGTGCCAATTTATTTTAACGAGCGGACGAAAATTCCTCTCCTTAATAACTTGCTTTTGTTCCTCGGGTGGGCGGACCGATTTTAATCATTTACTTATAATATTAGGGAACTGCGCTTCCTGACTGATTGCTAACCCAGCCACTTGAGGCACTTGAGATCTTGGACGAGATGAGCAGGCAAGTATATCAAGGATGAGCATGGAGTCCAATATCTTGGACGCGATGCTACTTAATAAAAAATATGGACGAATATTACTGACCTCTACTGGTCAACAATCCAAGACCAAGCCAAACATGAAGCAACCGGTAGGGATCCGGTTTGATTTCAGTGGTTTTGGATGTAAAGAAGATCTGAAAAAATTAGGTTTGCACGGTGAAAAGGAAAACTAAGGCCTCAAGTTGGGTAAGGGCGTAGAAAAAAAAACATGAACCAATTAGGAGAAGGATTCAATGGGATAGACGCTGTAAAGTAACCTTATAAATTTACGAGAACCGGGCTATTTTTTTTTCGGCATCTTTTTATTTTCCTGCCAGTATCATCAAAAGCATATATTTGCTGATTTTTTAGCTTTATGTGGCAAGAATCAACGCTGTATTACTTAAAACTTCCTTTACAGATACATCCTACATCTGCCTTGTTATATCTTCAAAAACGTACGCATACGGTTTTTATGTAAAATACCTAAGTATCCTAAATACCTAAATATCTTGAGGAAAAATGTGCCCTCACCGGCGCTTTTGTGCATACAGACTCTGGTGTACTCTACTCTATGACTGTATGCTAGTGTTTGACGCCACTTTTAAGGTAACAAATAAAGGTGCACGTATTTTTTGGAGAATTAATTTACAGCAAAATTGTCAAAATTGTGAATAATACTGACATACCTCAGCGTATTTGCCCTCTCCGATGAATATAATGGGGTACCCCAAAAGCCAGAATCGGTATATACCCCCATATTCCTTATAATGCCTGTAGGATTCCGCTGGTAAGCCTGCAAGTTAAAAGTCACGAATTAACACTAAATGCTGCGAAAAAACAATCTCTGGAATGGGGTACATTTTTCGGGCGTCCAAGCCTCCAATTCAGCAACGTTCTTTTCTCATCTTAAACGTGCACGATCAGCTATTGAGACCGATGTTACAATTTCGCAAAACATTAAAATTATTAATTTAAATACTTGTAGTAAAGTAGNGGGGGGGGGGGGGGGGGGGTTCCTTGCACTTTCAGCCATTTATGTAGAAAACAAAATTTCTCCTCAATTTCCTCAGTGGAATTTTGAAAATGCCTATAGGAAGTGCGTCCATCGCAAACGTTTCATAAAACTTTAAAATGATAAACTCTAATTGATGTCATACATCATACGAAATGAAAATCCTGAAGCATTTGTTTTTTTTTTTTTTAAATTACGATATTGTATTCTATAACACGATTTTGGATTGCGATATTGCAAATTTATCGTGCTTTTCCATTTTGTAAACGGGAGACTAGATGCAACGTACTTTTTTAAAAACATCGGTCCCCAGTAAAAATAAAACATCATGAATAATTTTCATGAGATAGAAAGAACTACCTCACCATCCTCCCAACAGTGCTGCAGAGTTGTAATACGGTCCATTTTTGTTCATTTATCTGAAATTTGCGTGTTGGAATAAGTATGTTATTTCCAAGTACAAAAACTGGCAAACCACTCCACAATCCGGCAATATTGCCGTGATAATCATCAAATATATCCTCTCGTCTCTGTGAAAATCATTGATGATGTTTTATTTCAGCATGAATTCTGTGGTTCATCTGCATTGTGGACTCTTGCTCAAGCCGCAAAGTTGGTTAATCTTATGAGTTGAGCCGCATATTGCGTGATTTTTCAATATTGGAAACAAAATAAAGTTATAGCCTTTCTCCACCTTGTTACATACAGTTCGGGCCACTTCTTAGTGTTTTTTTCTTCATTAAAGTTATAGCTAGACCACAGCTTTTTGGTTAATTGTTTATTTCCGAGATGAGTGGACGCTGATCACGTGGAGTGCTGAAGATGGAATATGTATCCAAAATGCATCCACTCATTTTGTAAATAAACCGTGGTCAGGCCGTGGTCAGACTGTGGTGTAATAACCGTGGTCAGACTATAACTTTCTAATTTGTTTCCAAAGCTTCGTTTTCTTTCAAAATTTTAATAAGGAGCATGTAGAAATTTTAAGACACTTTAATTTAAATCCATGCCTTTATTCAAGCTCTCTAAAAAGTGAATTTGACAATGCAGCCTCTTTTGATCGAAAAACAGGGGCACTTCTCGTAAGTTGGCAAAACCAGCTATTATATATTTGACTTAATGTAAAAAAATCGATTTTAGGCAAACCTCGGCCTGCCTCACCTGTTGGTTGTTACCTGGCCTCGGATTATTTTGGCTACGGGTCGACCGAAATCTAAAATAAAATCTAAATTCGACTTTGAATCGGAGAGATTACATTCTAAACTCGAGCTAGATACGAGTTGAGCCATCCTCAGTTTCTCAACAACTCAAACCGTTGATCAGCGATTTAATAATAAAACCAACATTCCGACTGCAACTTACAATCGACTGTACCTTACAATCGACCGCAACTTACAATCGGCTGCAACTTACAATCGACCGCAACTTACAATCGACTGAAAGTTACAATTGGCCGTAACTTACAACCGGCCGCAACTCTGCCAAAAGAATTTAGGCCCTATTTTCACCTGCTATTTACGTATGAGTATTTAAACGGACAGGTGAGGGGCTTTGAGGACAAGGCGTTTAAATGCAGTTTTTGAAAAAAAATGAGCTATTAATGATTTCAAATAAAACTAGTCTAAATGGATATTCTGAGAAGAATCCGCTCTCAAGTTCCAATTTTTAAGCATTAAAAAGTCTGTTTGAACTTTTTTCCGCCATAAGGATCCATGTAATTTTGAAACTTAAAAAACGTATTTCTCGCAATAGCAAAAGCTACACGTATGGGCCTTGTCCTCCAAGCCCCTTAAATCCAGTGTTGTCAAATCTCAAGAAAAGTTACCGTTATCTATACTATAAGCTCAAAGACCTCCTAATTTTGCGAAACTGGTAACGCTTAGTTCCAGCGTTCTACCGGGCCGATTTTCATGATTTTTGCGGCTATCGACGGGCAATTGTCTCTAGATAAGCCAACTCTTTTCGGATTTTCAAAATATGGTCCAGGTTTTTTTATATTACGTGGTAAAGTTGCGAATTCTCCCATTTAAACAATGTAAATTTATACTTTTTGTCATAGTTCGTTTGAGCGTTCTACCGGGCCGATTTCCATGGTTTTTGCGTAAATCGACAGGTAATAGGCCTTAGATGAGCCCGCTGCAATCAGATTTTGGAAAAAGGACCCAGGTTTTTTTAAAATCACGTTATAAAAGTGAATGAGTTTATAGAATGCTCCGGTACTGCTACCGCTATGCGCGGGAGGATGTGCAATGGTCGAGGAGGTTGCGCAGTAGCTGGGTAGCCTGCGCATCAGCTCTACACTTATCTACACAAGATTCGCACCTACGGCTTCATGTCGAGCGGTGGCCGAGTCGTCTAAGACGTCAATTGCGTCCGCTATGATCACAGTGTGGGTTCGAACACCGACTCACGATTTCTTATTTATTACCTGATTATCATTGTTCATTGTTTTACTGCAATATTTCATCAAGCAGTCATTCCAAAATGCGTCCTTTTAATTTTAAAGTAATTTTAAGTAAAGTTTAAAATTAAAGTATACCTCATATCGTGTTTTTTTAGGGGAAAAATAAAACTAACACTGATAGGAGGGTAAAAATAGGGCCGCGAAGCGGCCCATTGATGGCGCGGAGCGCCTTCAGGGGGTTGGGCCGCGTAGCGGCCAGGGGGCGTAGCCCCCTAGTAAAACCATATCGGCTTTACGAAGCCTCTAATTTTGTGTGTGTCGTCAATGTGGTAATACGATGAAGAACTCACCTGCTGGAGAGACCATAGCCTCCTTTAAATGTCCTATTAATCTGTTTTTAAGTGGGGGACCGGGAACATTTTCCACATAACGCATTTTTCTGAGCCATATGTGCGATCTCTGGATGATTCTGAACAGGATGCAGCAGAACGCGGCGATACACAAAAGAAAACAAATCATGTTGACGGCTTAAAAAAAGTATACCTGTTTAACCACTCATTGAACTGATATTCAATGGTTAATTCATGATATTTCAAAAGAACAAATCTTCCGAATTTCCTATACTCGGGTCAAAAAACTCGTATGTATTTACATTTAAAAAAAAAAACAAGAACAGTTCAAACGTTCGCCGTGTTGTGTTTGAAAATGACGGACGCTATTCACATCAAAAACTTGTCAGTTGCAGACGTGAGATCTTTCTTCCAAAAATTAATAAATGTCACTTCGAGAATACTCAATTACGTAGCTATTGTATTACTTTTCATCGTCGCGAATTCTATCACCCAAAATATATACTTTTTGCGGCACTGTATGCATCATTCGCGGCGAAAGGTATGAACGAGTGATTCAATTCAATAAATGCAGACTTCAAAATTGATCAGTAATTCATTATAATATTGGTTCAAAGCAGATAATTACACTGATACACCACACCACACAAAAAATAAACAACTTCAGACCAATTTTCATAACCTCAATCCTGCACCGCCTCACGAAGTCTTAAGATTCATTCTACTACCTTATTCAAATAATTTTCCCAAACCATTTTCCTCTGTCTCTCCCCCTCCCATACTTTATTCTGCGATTTAAAGAGACGACGCAAGGGACTTGTAAGTTTGAGGCGTATATTCAAGGTCGTAGCAAGTGTTCCTGTTTTTTCTCTTCTTTTTTGCTACATCAGTAAAGAGATGAACTCCACCTCTGATATTAAGTTTATACATTCATGCAGAGCTCGTGTGTGAGTGTGTAAACTTCGTTGTCGCTGTTAAAAAATAGTAATCCGCAGGATTGATGGATTCGTATCCGATTTGATATTATTTTGATTTTTCTTCCTTCAAATGACAACATCGGCATACAATGATCTAATCACTAGCTGTGAGGCGTTGTTATCTTTCATTCATGTTTGTAAACTATGTTTTTTTTATTTATTTATGAGAAGATATTATCATCACTAGAATAATTGTGAAAAGAAAGATATCTCGTGAACAATGAAGAGTGAAGGGTAGACATGGGTCCTTCTCTTCGTCAAGAATTAATTAAATCGACGGCGTAAGTCCGCAATCACATATCTCGATTGCGGTATCTGATAATCTCCGCCTCTATGTTCTTTTTTTAAGGGAGAACAAATTGTCATCATTCCTTGCAGTTTGTGCAGAATCGTCTTCGCACTGAGAAGGAAAATCACGGCAGTTTTAAATAATTGCCGTTGAGTAGTTTTCCGTTTAAAAAATAAAATATGACAAAAATTCTGCAACGTCGCAAACCGAGTTAAATTATAAAATAATCGATTTTAGGAGATAGACCGTATTCGATACATCAAACGGGTGATATTGTATCGATATCGATTGGTTCATAACATAAACATAACTTCAAAAGTCAATTGAGAAATCTGACGGAAACGGTTTTTTGTATTAGATTTTTGATCCCTATGAGAACTAATTGGCCAAGAGTAGTGAAATTGCTACGAAATTTCTCATTTTCAGTTTTTCTGACAAATATCTTAAAATTATGATTTGAGGTTATGTTCTATTGTTTTGAACCAAACGATACATCGAATCACTATCGAATACGATCCATCGCAATAAAGATTGATCGATTAATTTTCATCCCATTGAACGACATTCAGTTTTACATCTAGTTAGAGTCGCAGCTTATTCAGATAATTCATCAAACGACGTTAATCGTTTTAGTAAGTTCGAAGTAAGGACGGCCATTGAGGTAGGAGGGGAAGGGGGGATTACTCTTTTTTGTTCTATGTTCCTGCAAGAAGACATCTCAGGTGCTTGACACAAAGCCATTAAACGACAGAAAAAAAGACGACATTTTCTATACCGTGAAATTTGAGACAAGCAGTTTTGTTTGAACTCGGCAACGCAGCCTTACATGCCTACATAAGATTTTAAAAGGGCTCGGCCTGGCCTGGTGAATCTTGCAATCAGCTGAATCTGATTAATTTATTTTTCTTCTTCTCCTTCTTTTTTTGCGAATTCGCAGTCTGCTGAGGTTCTTCATTTTGGGCGCAACCCTTTTACGCGAATGGACCCATAATTAGGACCCATTATTATGAGGGGTTTTGCGCGAACAGGAATAGAGGTACTTTCGAGGGAGCTTTACCGCACAAGAAAATGATTTAAAAGGTTAAAAGTTAAATTGTTTAACGTGACTGTTTTAACGTGAATTGTTTAACGTGTTAATTGTTTAAACTCTCGATGCGACTCCTACTATTAAGTAGGAGTCGCAATTCCATTGCAAACTGCCTGAGCTGAACACTCTCCCTCCTCAGCTTCGTACTGGTGCGCATTAGAGTTTAAACAATTATTCTTGACTCTAATTTTAATTTTTGGAACTTTTTGGCTTTGTTTTCCCCACGAAATGATGTGGACCCAGCACCATTTTTCCACCTTGTTAAATTGTTTACTCACTTGCACGTTTTTTTAATTATTTTTCCGCAGACGCGTTTCGGTCAGTACAGACCATTTTCGATGCTCGATCGTGACCGATCAAAGTCGCGAATGATCAAAGTCATCAGTCGCGATCGAGCATCGAAAATGGTCCGTACTGACCGAAACGCGTCTGCGGAAAAATAATTAAAAAAACGTGCAAGTGAGTAAACAATTTAACTTTTAGCCTTTTAAAGTAATAGAGGGTTTCGAAGTGAGCGGGGTCACTTTTGCGCGAGTACAAATTGAGCTGGGCCCCAGGACTTTAAACACGTGCAATGTGGCAATGATGTGCTGCTGCTGCTACTTTATAAGAAGTTGTTTCCTTGCCGAATGCATATAATGACAAGAAGGTGATTGGGTGTGTTCTTTTTTTTCTCCGTGGCGGAAGGCTTACGATTTTGGCGCGTATACGTAGTATACCGCCTTTGCGATCGTTTCGAACCCTGCTCGATACAATAACCGAGTCCCTTAGTTCCTTACCGAAAAGTGACTACCGCGAACTTCTGAGATTTTCCAAAGCGTGTAAAAAGTTTATTTATCCGTCAATGATTATGATTTAAAGTTGTTCTCATTCTGGGGCTCGCTAGTTTATGTGCAGTGAATACCAAGAGTCTACGTTACTTGGTTTT